GTCAAAAATAAAATAAAAACACCCTTTAATTTAGTATGTCCTACCCTTTAATAGATCAGAAACTACCAAAGAAGAAAAAAATGTAAACTAAAAAACTTCAAAACACATAATCGTCGGCTCTGCACCAGGCTCCCGTTACAAGTTCCCATCAGCATCATTTATACAACCAATTTTTTTACATACAGTATACAGGGTGGATTATTTGTAGTGCACCGCATTAGGATCTCGGAAAGCCTCATAGTTACATTGTCAGTTAAATGGGAACAAATTCTCTATTTCTGGGGGAATTGAATCATGCTATTGCTTTGTTTAGTCCATGGCCTACTACATATGGAAGACAAACCAAAATCAACTTTTTTCTTCTAAAGGTGCTGCCATCTTGTTATAATTAATGAAGTCGTTAATTGGATAATTTCTACGGGCACAAGTTTTACAATGAATGCCTTCATGATATTCTATTATCTAATACCTTTGTGATAAGGGAAGCGCTCTACAATTAGAAATTTGCGCGTTAGACAGTTCAAATTTTTCTGCGCGTACTTGTAATGGAAAGTTCACGGATCTCAGAAATGTACCTATTTATAACGTAAGTTTGTTAAACAGTTACCTAAAAACACCAACATGGTCCTTCCCTTAATCATACGTAGTTAGTACGTTCAATTTATAGCACAACAAATAATTAAAAGCTCAATACTCATACAAATGTATAAAAAAACCTCGACCTACCAACTGAGAATTTCTGGAATTTTATTTAATCAATAGGCCAAACTGGAAGAATTTCTTAATTATCAACTTCCCTTCAAAAGGATTTTCTTTTCAGACTTTTATAATTATTATCAGTTCTCTATAGGACATTTATACCGTGGACTAAGGTGTATTGTCTACTCTCCGTTCGAAAAATAATAAAGTTAAACTGCAGAAAACGTTAGACTTATTCAATTTTTATAATCAGGCTTGCTCGTAATATTCAGAAGGTTGTTACGATAAACAGATATTAACGTCATAATTTAATTACATTGAGTATTATGAATGTCCGAAAGTTTGTGATCTCAAGTGGAGGTAAAATAGAGTCTTGCGAATAACCTCCAAATTTATGGAGATTCATTTGCATTTCGAATTGAATTGGCCAAGAGTAAAATCTGAAATAAATTGCGTCTTCTGTGCGTTGTGCGTAATCTGCTTTTCTTTTCTGCGACGACGATTGAATAAAGACATGCAACTTTTCCATCATTAATTACGAAAATCGAACGATTATATCGCTTCCAGTCCTATGCCCTATATACTTATTAAGAATTACGCTGAGCTTCATCGGGCTTTTTGTTACTAGAAAAACAATACAAATTTTGTTCGGATTTGTATACTTCAACTTCAACGAATGTGGCATGTTACGTGAAGAAACCTGTATAGTTCGCTACCCTCTTAAATTCTGCGCAACGTTTCACTATAATTATGCCAATTAACAATTTATTGAGATCTAGCGAACCAATTATCTTCATTAAGTCAGGAATGCATGTACTACAATTATTCCCATTTGTAGCGTGACGGACTATCTTCAATTGACACCTGTTGAGCTGACCACATAAATCACTTGAAATATAAACATTTTTTGCAATTGTGTTCAATTATTGATGCGTAAGAAACAATGGCGCCTTCATTTTACTAAAACGGTAATAAGTTAATTTGTTGTTACGCATGACATCATTTCTCAATAAACGGAATAGTGGATATGACAAATTGAAAACAGAATCGTTTATATTGTGTAACTCAATTAACCTTATAATAACATCGCCGATTATTAGAAGTCATATTCTGCCACCTTCTTTAACTTTAATTTTTAACACTAGAAATGTTCATATTGTGGTATTTGACGGAAGTTTGAGAAGGCGCATTTTCTCTACTTCCCCATTCACAATTTAAATTTGCATTTGGCAAATATCCATCCGGCTTGCTCAAATTCAAGAGACTCAAAATTTACGGGGTTCAAAAATACATGTGAACTTTTTTAAAACAATTACAAACACATTAAATGTAAAACTAAACCCCAACTTTTCCCAACACCACCCAAAACAAATTTAATATACCTACAGGGTGAACATGAGAAGTATTTACATTTTTGATCGCCCCGGTTGATCAAAACAACGCAGCAGTATTATTAACAGATGACGTTCTGAACGAAGGTCCAATTCTATCAACCAAAAGAGCAAGTAAAGAATAGCCACATGCACATCTGCAATATCTTCGGCCAGTTATTGAAAATTTCTGAAAGATAGGAAAAATCTTAAAAAGACAGGCTGAAGAAAAAAAAAGAAAAAAAATGGAAAATCGGCATCTGCTAAAAGAAAAAAACTAATATTGACTTAAATTTTTTCAATGTGAGAGACTCGGTGGCGTCGATCACCTTCCAAAAATTCCTAAGAATTTATTACACAACTTTTGAAATAAATGTTGAGCACGAATAGAAAAATCTGACACGAAGACCATCCGGGTCGCACAAAGGGTTCGAAAAAAAAACAATTAATTGAATAAATTTAATAAAAATTTAAACAAGTGCATATTTTAAAACCGAAATAGCTTAGTAAATGGTTGCGTTATAAGGTAGTAGCGTGCTAAATTTATCGATGTTTTCATTCTTGTTAGATGATTAATAGGGATACTCCACCAATAGATATGGTTCGTTCAGACGATTCATTTTACCTTTGTGGGTACTTTCCCCCGACAAAGCGTTTTCGAGATAAAGTTTTTACAGCACCAATAGATATATTTTTCCAGACGTCGCAATCGCCCTTTGTGAATACCATCCTCCGACAATCTGTTATTCAGATATAAGGAATGATGTATATCCGATTGCGATAAGGAGTCGAGGAGGAGGCTATGGTTGGTCGAAATTCCTTCGTTGAGACTTTTCATTAAAGTACCATGAAGGATAAAACTAGCCCCCCCCCCCCAAATCTCTTCTTTTGATAAGGAGTCAAAACGTAGGGTGGTGGTTGGTAGAAAACAGTTTCTGTTGAGCCCTTTAATTGGAATACCAAGAAAGATAAAATTAATTTCTACTCCCTCCCTCTTCGCCGCGGCTACCTACTGACCTCAGAAATGAGTCTCGCAAGAAAGTTATAGTTTGTACAAATCACTTTATTTCGGTGAGACCTTTAATTAGAATACTATGAAGGGTAGAACGTGTGTATGCCCCCCCCCCCCCACCCGAACTAACCTTTTCTAAAAAGGGACAAACCGTTTTTAAAACTTTTAATAATAATAATAATAATATTTTAATAATATTTACTAGTTCACTTGACGATAACTTAAATCTTTCATTAAGATGGCTTAATCTTCTGCACACTCTATTTCGCAGCAGATGAACTGCGTCTTTTATACAATAACTACGGGCAGATTGCCACAGATTTTGCGTAAACAAATTTACACAATCTTTAATCAGCCGCGTACTCGCAACAGCCTCGCTTTTACGTTGATTGCAGGTTTTTAAGGGAATGCCACTTCCACTATCAACAAAAATTTCAAATAAATCGCCAGTTACAACGGGCTTGATAAACCCAACTTCGAAGGAACGCGTCCCCAGTTACGCCGACAAGAAACGTGCAATTCCACGATACGCCTTATCTCTTAACAGCGATAAGAACGCGTGCGTTAATTAAATTTCGTCCGATAAAAACTCCTTATCGCAAACGACCAGATCTCCCAACATTAAATGGCCGGTGGCGTAGTGCAGTTAAATCCAGGTTCGGGCATGGATATTTGTAAATGTATAGGGTTGGTTTGGTAGAGCAGCCTTGGTTGAAACCCCGCCCACTCAAAAATAAAGGCAAAATAAAATAAATATTCAAAACAGGCAATTTCATGTTTTACAATTGAATAGGTAAATCTAAATAAATAATTTACAAAAGCGTTAAAATTTAAACAAGAAAATATTACGCAATTATAAAATTATAAAACGGAAAATAGATTGAGATAACAAATTTAAATACATTAAACCAATTTTCTGCTTGTTCGTAAATAATTCCCTAGATGTACACTTAATGAATTGAAATATTGTCATATACAGGATTGCCCGTCATTATTTTTGGTGTTTAGACCGAAGTAATGTGTTCATGACGTTGTTGACACAATAGTATCAATCGGATATGCGTTTTTGCAAATTGAAAATTCTGTGTTCGCATACTCTAGTACAGTAGGAATAGGCTGGCGCTGCTTTGCCTCAAACCCGCCCCATAAACGGTCAGCTAGCTAGAATTGTAAAATCTAGAGGCTTGAGATCTTCCACAGCCGTTGATTGGTTTGGGGCATATAATCTACGGCACTTCTTCACAACTTACCATTAGTTGAGCGCCACCCAGTTTATTAAACTTATCTCTCCCTGTATAAAAACTAGGAAAATGTAAAGAAAGTAACAATTCGAATTGACTGGTGTATTCCAATTAATGTCATGTAAAATTATCTCCAAAAATAATTGTTTCCCCAAAAATATAAAAATGAGAGATTTTCAAAATTATTGATTAAAATGAACTCAAACTCTTAGCAAATCAAACGTCTAATTAAAATCTCCCTACCCCGACAATGATCGAATAAAGATTACTGAATCTCATAACGATTCTCAACAAATAAAATGATGTTCCGGGGTAACGGGGTAAAAATGTGCGGGATAATGCCAGGTACTTTCTTTTGTTTTCCATTTCAAGTAATGAGATATCGCCTTAGGAGTTTTAGGTGCAATTTGAGTTGCCTATCTTTACGTGTGTTAATGAAAAAAAACTAATATTCAATATTAGGAGTAATAAAAACACTTATTCCTATGAGACAAATGAAGGCGTCATCTCACTATCAATCTTATCGTTACACATACTATAATACCAAGTTTTGACCAAATTCAAGAACTATCGGCAAGTCATAGTAATAAGGGGTAGATACGTTGAAAAGTTTGCCAAAACAGTTTAACATTTTGGTTTCAGTTGAAAAGAATAAGAATAAATAAGTAATTATTTCCTATTGTTTCAGGGAGCACGAAGCACAAGCCACACACGAATGCTGCATCAACAGTGATAATTAGTTGCCCACTTAGAAAAAGTAAGCATCTCTGAATCGGAATAGGTACCTATCGAGTGACTGTATCAATTCTTGAATGTGATTATATGCATTGATGCCTACGTAGTTTATGTAGGCTTCGGATGCATGCACAAAGTTACATTTGAAATTTTCGTAAGATCACAAGTGGTTAACGACATGAGAAGCTGATTTCACAAAATCTAGTAAAACATCCATTTTTTTTATAGAAGACCTGCACGTTCAAATTGAAGAAGACGAAAAAGGATTCGAGTCCTTAATCCTTTCAACAACTTCCAGCCAAGCCGAGGGCGATCCCGATTCTTCATGCGAGGTTGAAGATCAACGCGAAACATGGGCTTCAAACGCCGATTTCCTATTATCAATAATTGGTTTTGCCGTAGACTTAGCGAACGTTTGGCGATTTCCGTACTTATGTTACAAAAACGGGGGAGGTAAGTTGGTGCTGGTGAATTATCAATGTATGTTTTCCTGTCGCAATTTCAGGGGCGTTTCTTATCCCGTACCTATTAATGTTAGTATTTGGAGCACTGCCATTATTCTATATGGAATTGGTTCTTGGCCAATTTAATAGATTAGGTCCTATAAGTGTTTGGAAGATATGCCCTCTTTTCAAAGGTATTGTGTTTCTTGTGTTGCCTGCACTAACCCACTATTTTGCTTTTAGGGGTAGGTTTCTGTGCCGTCCTAGTCGCATTTTTTGTATCCTTTTACTACAACGTTATAATAGGTAAAGATACTTCTGTGTCAGTTTGGGAAAGTAACCGTGTTTTTTATCAATAGCATGGTCGGTGTACTTCCTAGCGTCCAGTGTACGTTCGCAATTACCATGGTTGCATTGCAATAACACGTGGAACACGAAGCTCTGTTGGGAGTCTATGACTATCGACGATGGTTTCGAAAATATTACACGTACAGCACCGCATTTTAATAATTCCACGCCGACAAATCGTCATACACCGGCTTCTGAATTTTTTAGGTAAGTTGTCTAGGCACCGTGATGAATATCTCACGTGCTTTTCCATTAATCGCTATTGGTAAATTTGTAATTGGTAAAAACTGCGTACTTTAGATATTTTTACGTAAAAAAAATGTTGGACTACTGTTTTTGAGATTTGGCTCAAAGTTGATATTTTTTAATTGCAACACCCGGTATATTTTAACGTCAATTTTTGCTTGTTTTTTCTGATTAGATTTATGTATCACAGCCTATATTTTTTTGTATAATTAGATATTATATTATATCATATTTTTCAAAATTTTGAAATGACTGTCAGAAATTTTTATTGGTTGGTATCAGCTGTCTTAATTACCATGGATACAATAAACGATACAAAATCTCCATGAATCCATGGCGTATTATTTAAAAACAGTAAAAAACATAACGTTTACACGGCTAAAATTTTAAAAAATATGTAAGATGAAATCAGGACACAGTTTAAGAAACAATTGACGTTAAGATATACAGGGCGTTGCCTTTAAAAAACGTCACTGGGTCGTTGAATAGTGTCATGTCTTACTACACAATTTCTAAACGAAGCATGCGAAAGAAATAGATATGAGCTCTATGGTAATTGTTCACGTGAGCCACGAGCATCTTATGTATTATATAAGTAAGCCAAAGTATAGTAGTATATCCTATATTTTATATTCATTTTACTAATACCTAATGTTAAATAATCAAACACTTTTTAGTCGATCCGTGCTGGAAATGCAAACAAGCGAGGGTTTACACGATTTGGGTTATCCTAAGTGGGAGTTAGTCATTTGTCTATTCATAGTCTACACAACGCTGTACATTTCGTTATTCAAAGGAGTCAAATCGTCAGGTGAGCTTCAGGCTTCCATTACGTTTACGAAGTCTTGATGGAGTATTTCAGGGAAAGTCGTATGGGTGACAGCCACTATGCCGTATGTGGTATTAACACTATTATTAATAAGGGGACTCATGTTACCAGGATCTGGAAAGGGTATTTCGTATTATTTGCAGCCTAAATTATCCAAACTCAAAGAAACTCAGGTAGGTATCTCAGTGTCGTACGACATTCAATAGTAGATTTGATTTAAACCTCAGATCATTTCAGGTTTGGGTGGATGCCGCCGTTCAAATATTCTTTTCTGTCGGTGCCGGATTCGGTGTTCACTTATCGTACGCAAGCTACAATACCTTCCACAACAACTGCTATCGGTAAGTGAACTTGTTGCATAAAAGATACTCACCTGCAATTTTCAGCGACTGCCTGGTTACCAGTATAGTGAATTCGTTTACGAGTTTCTTTTCGGGATTCGTCATATTTACGTATCTAGGCTACATGTCTTACAAACAAGGTGTCGATATAGACGAAGTTGCAACTGACGGTAAAATTGCAGAGGAAAATCGCCGAATTTTATAACACCTCTTTTGTACAGGTCCCGGATTAGTTTTCCAAGTGTACCCCGAAGCAGTGGCGACACTACCCGGTTCGAATATTTGGTCGATGTTATTCTTCTTTATGCTAATCATGCTTGGACTGGATTCGGGGGTATGAAAACGCCACCTACAACGCACATGGTGTATTAATTTAATTTTAGATGGGAGGTCTTGAGTGCGTTATTACCGGCGTTATGGACGAATTTTCGGGTTTCTTTAAGGAAATTCGATTTTCAAGGGAAGCATTCACGCTCGGAGTAATTGTGGTGTCGTTTTGCGTTGCCTTGGTGAACCTAACGCCGGTAAGTATTATTCAAAAATTAAATTCCTTACCTTATTTAAAAATTAAAATGGATCGTGATTTAATTCTATTTTCATTCTTTTGACATTCTATGAATTTGCATTATCTTAATCTTGTTTTAAGAAATTTGATTCCTTTCGAAAATGAGGCGTACTAAATGTAGCTAAATTTCAATTTGAATTTCTAAATCGGCTCGGCTTAGCCAATTTTAGAATTACTATATAACATATACCTTAAGGAAAAACAGGTAAAATGAATGTAACAACACGATTGGGTTAGTAATTAACACATAGCTTCTTCTACAGTGTTTTTAGTAATGATTTCTGCACATTATTTTGTACATGAATCTTAAAATTAAACTGATATTTTATACCGTAACAATCGTAACAACATTAAAAAGTTCCTTCTTCAATCAAATAAATTTTTTTCTTTTACAATTTGATTTTTGAGATTGTTATAGCACAAAATTCACTCTGTTCTCTTCATGCTGTAATTGAGCAAAATGTAAAACGTGGCGGATACTTTTTTCATTTGCTCTGGTGTCTTTAAAATACCTTGCAAAATATTTATCAAGATGATACAAAATTGTATTAATACACCTAGGAACTTACCCATTATTGCATTGCTATTAACGCGCACCAAACCCGCCTGTCCAAACATTCTCGACGTACTTGGTTCTGAGGTCATACTTTGGAATTTCACTCGACGCGCAAAGCTAGCGAGTAGGAAAGCATTCGGAAAGAGAAAGATAATCTCTACGCGCGACGACTGCCTTAAAACAACTTGGCAAATTTTATTAATACACAGACTTACTACTAAGTAGATTAATTAAGCAGTAAACGAGGGAATTCTGCCCATTTCTTATCAATTATCAATTATTTTGTCATAATTAGATGTTATTTTGATAATCCGGTGAAGGATAATAATAACGGGCCATCAAAAATGAGTTGCTGTCGAGTCGCCTTTGGAAGTTCAAGTTAAGTACGATTTCTCATGTAAACAAACATTCCAAAGGTCACTCGACAGCAACTCATTTTCGATCGCATAGTACTTTCAACGTAATGAGGAAATCCCCACCAGTATCCTCCACTGTTTACTGCGCATCTAGTAGGCGGCGTATTCACTAGGAACCAGGCAAGCCGAGGCCGAACGAACATACCAAGTGTGGACTTGTTATCGAGGCGCGGCAAACAGAAATCTTGTTGTGCGATGCGCGATCCGATGCAGCTCGAACGCCATCCGATCCGAGTCGGTACATCAAAGAAAAATTCGATGTAGTGTGGACGGTTTTTGGTTTCAGTTGCCTCCCCTCGCGACCCTTGCGTTTTTTTTATTATTTGATTTGAGTTGGGACAATGATAAAACATTGTGTTTCATAAAAGAATATGAAAAAAGGTCTGTCCTATGGAAAAAACGTGACAAGTTGTATTACAACATCAATAACAAAAAGGATTGGAGGCAAATAGGTGATATTTTTGAAGAAGACGTCTTAACTTAAAAAAAGTTTGAGGGGTTCAAGGCGGAGGGAACAAACGCGTATGACAAAAAGCAGAGGAACGGGAAAAGGTAATAAGACAAACTGGTGTATGAATCACCAGTTGCTAAATATCTGAGTGTTATAGCCAACCTTTCTTTTGGGGTCACAGCTTTGCGAAATTTCGTGTCATTTCGAGAAATATCAGCACGAATTGATTCCAATACATATTTAAAGTCTGCAGGAGACATTCTGGTAAAGTTGCGAAAATGGCCATTTCCTTCTTCCACCATGCTGTTTAAAAATGGGTGACCTCTGGTGGTCAATCTATTTCGGTATAAGGATGTCATCCACCAGCGTTTCTTTTTCCTTTTCTTTTCCCAGCTATTACAATAAATGCTGCACGGGCCGCCATCAAACAGTCTCGGTCCGCCATTTCAACGGATTTACTGCCGCACAAGTGGATCGCTGCCTCGTTTGGTGTCTCGGCACGCCTCGTTCCTGTTCGTGCTCAGATGAATACGCACCTTGTGTTCCTGATAGAGATGCTCAAAGTACTTTGTTAGAAATACTCACAAAGAGCTAATTGTCTAGGGGTGTGATTTGTTTCTATTCTATCATCCAATTGTGAGGTTGGCTTGGGGTCCCGCCGAATTGAAACATCACTGTCGGAGGATACACTTGAGGCATTTTCCAAGTTCATTTTGTCCTTCACCTTTTGATAATAACCTAAAAACAATTACTAAAACAAGCAATTGAAAATTTACCTGATCTATACTTCAACACTATGGGACACTTGGAACATTGAGATATAATTGGGGCAGCATAATTATGAATTGCCTTTGTAATCTAATCTACATATAAGGTGCAATATAGTACCTACAGTAGAGTTCGAAACTAAAATGAGGCCTCAAATAAAATTAACTGAAAAATGTGAACAGTCCTTTTTTTAACCACTTAAATGTATTCCTTTAATGCTCGTTTGCACCGGTTTGGCTTAAGGGTTTCGTTTAACTAAGCCCGCTTAATATTTAAGATTTGTTTAAATTTAATACCTTTGCACCAGCATTCGCTTAATTAAGCGAAATAATTAATAAGTAAACTATTGACAACACTGCTAAATTGCTCTAAAGGATTGCTGCGATTTCTTTCTAATGTCTAACTGACTTTTGATAATATTATATTTCCCAATTCACATTTCGTTTTGCATTACTGCTACGAACCGTACTGTTATATAATTGTGAAAATTAATAGCTTACCTTAGTTTAAAGTGTTTTATTAAAACATTTAACATCGGTTTCGTGATGGAAAATCTTAAACGGAAGCGCAATCCCAACTTTACCCGGAACGAAAAATTATTAATATTACAACTAATTGAACAACGTAAGCATATTTTAGAATGTAAAAAGACCGATGCAGTTAAATGGCACGATAAGGACCAAGCGTGAACTCAAATAGCAGATGATTTTAATTCCCAAGCGCCTGCAAGTGTCAACAGAGACAAAGAGTGTTTAAAGAAATTTTTTGAAAACCACAAAAAAGAAACTCGAAAACGGGCAGCGGACATTCGCACAAATATAAGAAAGACGGGAGGCGGGCCTCATAAACCTGATGCAGACCAAGATCAATTATTCAATTTGACTATGTCCGTCATCAACAAAAAACGGTGTTTGGACTGCCAAACTCGTTTGATGACGACAAGATTGATGAAAACGTGCAACAGGTAATTTAATTCTAATTTTTGTCAATAACGGATTTTGTAATTTTTTAAGGAAACTGATGAAATTCTAAGCCTGGAAGTTATGGATGAGGTAAACATAAGTTTTTACACGTAATACATAGTTTATTCAGTTGTCCCTCATGTTAAGTTCTTTTACTTGAAATGCATTATTTTAAATTTTTTGTAGGATAATAATGATAGTACTACCGTGCCAGATGTTCAAGATCCCGATTGGGGCCATTTCAAAGTTGATTTATTGGCAACGCCTGTGAATCAAAAATTAAAAAGGAAACCAGTAAATAATGAAATTAAAAAAAAGGAATCCGTTGGTACATCTGGTGTGGCTGAAAATAGTGATAAATGGACGAGTCGCAGACGCCCTACCTTAAGCGCTACAGCAAATTTGACAAGGAAATATGAAGATCTGGCTCATAATAAGAACGAAGTTAGTCGATTACAATTTGAACTTTTAAAAAAAGAAATAGAACTACAAAATATTCGAATTCAAAATGAAAAGGAGAGGTCATTGCGTGATGAGGAACTATTCAAACTGCAAAATGCAAAAAGAGAATCTTTTACTGGACATAAAAACAAAAAAGCTACAGTTAAATAAGTTGGAAGGGTCTATTTAAGAAGCAAAGTGTCTACTTATCTGCGAAATTGTTAAAGACAGTAAATACATGGTTTATTGATTTGATATAAATATTATTTTCATTTAAGTATAGTAAAGTTAATAACATCACAATCTAGAAAAATAATCATCTATAAATGCTCTTCGTAAGAGGTTTCCTGCTCCTATAGGCTCTGGTTCATTGTTTCTGTTTTGTATATCTGATATTTGCCCATCTTGAATCAGTTGGTCTAACACGTGTACATCTACTTCATCTGGTACAGGTGGTGGCTCTCTGTCACCCATTTCCATTGCCATGTTATGCAAAATAGAAGTTGCAACTATTACCGTTGTGATTGTTGTTAATTTTAAACGACATCCATATGCCAAAATCGGAAACCTTCTCTTAAGAACGCCAAAGCAACGTTCTATGGCATTCCGAGTCCGAATGTGACTTTCGTTGTAGAGGTTTTCCGCGGCTGTAGCTGGACGCATCAATGGTGTAAATAAATATTGTTTATTTGGATATCCGCTATCTCCTATTAAAAAATCTAATAAACATAAAGCTACGGAACACACTGGGTTCTTGCCTAGTAATAAACAATTCTCAAATTCATTGTTTACGAATCTGTTACGAATGTGACTATTATTAAAAATGGTCGAGTCGTGTGCAGACCCCGGCCACCTCGCTACAACATTCATAATTTTTAAATTGGCGTTGCAAATCATTTGGCAGTTAATCGGTTTCTAAATATTTCTGGATCTTCACCACCTAAAATTCCTCGAATGGTAAATAGCAATAAACTGAAAGGTATAGACATTTACCAGGAGAAGAGATTTTCACGTGGGTGCAATCTATAGTGCCGATCGCACGAGGGAAAGAAGACACATTGAAAAAATGTCACTGAATTTTTCTTCTGTCTTCTTCCCTATCTGGAAATCCTATAAACTGATTATAATGGCATGCAATTGCTTCCGCAACTCTAACAATAATTCGAGAGACGGTTGACAAGTGCATGCCCCCAAAATCAGCAATTGATTGCAGGTGTCCTCCTGTAGAAAATAGTCTGAGGCAAACCAGAAGCTGATTAACAGGAGTCACACAGTTATTGCTGAAAATTTTAAAACAATAGTGATATTTCGTTCTATATAAATTTGTTCTTTTTTTCTGCATACTGACCTATCATTTGGAAACTCCAAACGATCCTCTATCAAATGCAACACACGTAGCACACACTCCCTAGATAGCCGAAAACGTCTACGAAAGGCCGCTTCGTCTAACGTGTCAAAATATTTTGTTCTAAATATTATAAATTTGCCTTGGAAGACCGAATTGTATAAATTCCAGAACTTCTAATTCGTCATCCTCGTCCTCTAATAAGAATAGTTCCATCGTAGAATATTAAAATGATGAAAATTACCGACACACTTTATATTTTTTGACATATGTCAATGTACAGGTTTAGTTAAGCGGTAATAAATTTTCCCCTTAAAATTTGTAAAACTAAGTGACACTTAAATGACGCTTAAATTTTAAGTCAAATCGGTGCAAACGGGCATTTAATATTTACAAAACAATTATGATTTTACATAGGTATATAAATGCAAAAGTTGGGAGCAAACAAAAGTATTATCATCAAATGGTAAAATGACACTCGTACATACAAGATATGTGCACATAAGATGCCCATCTTTCTCCTTAAAAATATCTTCAAATATGTACTACTTAAAAAATTCACATATCTCGCAATTCTTGCAACTATCGAAAGGTAACAAACACACTATTACTTAATATAATGACAAGATTATTACCTTAAAAAATAAGAATGAATATGAAATACAAAAATTCACAGATTTCGCAATTTATACAACTATCGGCGAGAATGGAAATAATAACAGTATAACGCCACAATATGCAAAACAAAAATACGTCTTATTCATTGGGTCGACCTTCTGAACAATAAATGTGTAAACAAATATAGCAAACGAGCTTCTGAGTATGGCTATAGCATGCCCAAAACCAAATGGCGTTTGATTTGCTTTTATTCCAAGTGCCTATGTATCAAATTTCATTTAAATGCTTTCGTAAATAAGAAAATTGGCACTGAGCATGCTCAAATCAAATTTTGAAACTGTGGCTGTCGCATATCAAATTTGCTCTGACTTCACCACCCAAGCCTTTTAACATTCGAGAGTTTCATATAAACGTTACATAGGTACAAACTTCGAAACTAAGTTTCGTATGAGTGTTTTCAACACTAAAAACACAGTAGCATTTGTAACGATGCACCTCTTAAAATGCAACTTAGTATAAATTATTTCAGTTTCTTGAATGTCGTTACTTAATTTAGTTTGTCCCTTGTTAAGGTGTAAAGATAATTTTCAAATGCAAAACAATTAATTTTCTAAGGAACCCAAATGTTTGGTTTCAAGGGCCAAATGAATCAGCTGATGCACATTAAACACAGCAATATCTTTACGATACAAATTTACCGTGTCTTTCACAAAGACCCGCAATAATTCATTAGCATACCGATTATAGTTTGGGTAAAATTTCGTTTACAAAATCAAGAAAAATTTCTTTACTGTAAACTAAAATGGAATTTGAAAATTGTTCCAGTGGATTCCCGAGGTTGAAGTAATGTAGGACTGTCTAAATCACAAAAACGAATTTTTTTCTGCTTGCGCAAACGATTCGGGGACATACTGTATATGTTTAATTAGTGATTCTGTACACATCTCAAATCCTTACTTCTGTTGCTGTTGCAGCTTTGTTTTAAAAAATTGTGTTGATATATATCGTCATTTACTTTTAGGGCGGAATCTACATGTTTCATCTGTTCGACACTTACGCTGCGGGACTCTCGCTGTTAACTTCGGCCCTATTCGAAGCTATTGCTGTGTCCTGGTTCTACGGTAAGAGTTCACCAACCGAACTGTAACGGTTCTCTAACATTCTTAATCGTAGGCCTCAACAAGTTCACCCAAGACGTTGACGCGATGCTGGGTATTAAACCGGGACTGTACTGGAGGATCTGTTGGAAATTTGTCAGCCCATCGTTCCTCATTGTGAGCAATTTATTTCATTGTAAGCCAAATCTAAGTGCCGTTTCTAGGGAGTTATATTATTTGGACTTATCTTTCCCGTTCCGCTCAAGTACGAAGATTACGACTACCCCATCTGGGCGGAATCGATTGGTTGGTGTTTGGCACTTGCTTCGATATTAATGATACCGTTAAATGCCATATGGCAGTTACTTAAAGCTCCGGGAACCTTCAAAGAGGTAAACTTGTGATATTTACGCTTTTAGGTAATTGTGTGCGGTTACAGAAACTGGCGATATGTATCACCCCAGTGGACGAACACGAGTACCTTCGGGAGACGAAGCTTGTTAGTAGATTTAAGGCAAGACATTGGCTTTACGTGTAAGCTTTTACTGCAATACTTGTCGATTGTTTAACAATAAGGTACACATTTTGTGCCGCCGACTGACAATAGCCGCACTATGCACGTGGGAATATTTCTATAAAATGGAGATAGTATCCTTGTAGGATATTTTTACTAACTAGCTACGTAGTAAATGTGCAAAACTATAGGTACTTAATTATAAGGGCTGTTTCCTAAGTTGTTAGTCTGAGTCCCTTACGCAATCTAATCAGGCACTCTGATTAATATAAAACAGATAGGTTATATATATATATATATATATATATATATATATATATATATATATATACCTGTAACGGAAGAGGAATTGCGTGATACAATTAACAAAATGTCAAAATCAAACGCCTACGACATATATGGATTAAATAGCAACATTCTAAGAAACTGCATTGACATAATTGGTAAGTATCTTATCACATTAATAAATGATTGTTTTCTGACAGGTGAATTCCCCGCATGCTTTAAAATTAGCAAGGTAATCCCAATTTTTAAGAAGGGCAGTAAGGACCTGGTCAGCAACTACCGACCAATATCCATTGTTCCTATTTTTGGGAAGGTTATCGAAATTTTAATCAAAAATCGTTTAGTTACGTTCTTAAGTAAAAACCGTGTGCTGAATGAAACTCAGTTTGGCTTCAGGACAGGTTTATCAACCACACAAGCTGTAAGTAGTGTTGTTGATGGCGTAGTCGAGGCTTTTGAAAATCGTCATTATTCGTGTGCCCTCTTATATGACTTAACGAAAGCCTTCGACTGCGTTACACCCTCAATACTCCTAGAAAAACTGAATCATTATGGTATACGGGGAATACCATTGAAATTATTGGATTCGTACTTAAGAGGCCGTTCTCAATGTGTTAGCTTTAATAACAAATCTTCAAGTCTAAAGGAAATAACACTTGGCGTTCCGCAAGGATCGGTCTTGGGGCCCACCTTATTTTTGATATACGTGAATGATCTACCTAACGCAATCAGCATTGGTAAATGCATTCAATTCGCAGACGATACAACGATCTTGTGCAGTTCCCCTGTCATAAACACTCTAACCGATTGTATTGCCAACGTGAACACCCAACTACAGCAATGGTTGGAATGTAATAAACTTAAACATAATTCAGATAAAACCCTAAATATACATTTTACCACAACCAAGTCCATTGCTAGGAGAACGTCTGCAAAATTACTGGGAATAACACTTGATAATGAATTATCTTGGGAGGCCCATGTAGATCAACTCTGCACAGTTCTAGCATCGAATACGTATTTGCTAATTAGACTGAGACAATCCTTAAATCATGATGTCCTACGATCAAGCTACTTCGCGTTTGTACATTCTAGAATTAGCTATGGTATAACTATCTGGGGCAGATCCCCTCATTCCTTGCGCGTCTTCAGAATGCAAAAGAAAGCTATTAGGATCATCGCTTTCCGGGGTTTTAGGGATCCTTGCAGGGATATATTTAAAAAACTTAAAATTATGCCACTACCATGCATATATATTTACCAAACGTTAATCCATATTCATAAATTAGTAAATTCAAACAAGAATGTGTCAGACACGAGCAATCACGGTTATGCCACTCGTCACTGCAAGTTACTTTTACCCGTAAAACGTAGACTATGCGTATCAACAAAAAACTCATTGAATGTTGCACTTTACAACAAAGTCAATAACAAATTAAAATCTCTGCCACTAAATTTGTTTAAAATACAAATCAAAACATTTTTATTAAAGAACTGTTTTTACAGTATTGATGAGTACATGGCTGCCCCTACATGTACAGACACGATTTTTTTATGTTAGTACCTTTGTGAATGTGACGTAACCAAACAATTTTTAAATTGAATGGGTTTAATAAAAGTTATTATTATTATTATTATTATTAATATATATATATATATATATATATATTCTTTGACCAAAGTTTAACATAGACAAAATAAGTGATCAAAATATAAATGTACGTAATCGTAAATAAGACAAGATGTTTATTAGAAATAATTCTAAAACGCTGTAGGTTGCTTAGAGTGTATGTTCGGCAATAGCTAAAGTACTTATACTGATATAGAATTTCAGCATTGATTAACCATGCGTCTACTACCATGATATCTTTCACATTTTGATAGAATGTAAAAAGTACATATTTGTAAACGTTTACAAACAATTTTTGATATATAACGCTAACATGTACAGTCCAGGTAACCATTCCATACGAGTGATTTACTTCTCTTCAGTTCCTACAATTACTTAACAATAATTAAAAAAAATACTCTTAATCTATATTGCACTTATAACCATACCAAACTCGTAAGTTAAGTATTGAAGTATGTTATTGATGTTTCCGTAAATTGTGTAAATAGTGTAATTGCCGATGAAGAAATTGGGCAACGAATTGGACCGGCCTCTTGTAAATTATATTCTGATACCACCACTTCTTAAGGCCGCGCCATGATTGCCAAAGTTGACACGTCGAAACTAGATGGCTCAGTCTTGGATCGCTCAGAGAAAACTTGCAACATTTTTATTTAGCGAATCTGTGCTAAAGAAATGTATAGCTTATAAGTATGAAGGACTATTTAATGTTAATTAACGCTTTAAGGGAATGTGGATCATTCTTTGAGAAAAAAACTGTATTCATTTTAAATAGTAAATCTTTGTAATTTTTATTATTAGTGCTAATGTGTTGTTCCACAATAACCAACACTATTGGTTGGTATAAGTTATAGTGCTGATAAAAAGAATAAATCATAAATTAGGGAACAATATAATATCTTTGGCTGGTCCAAAGAATTGCAAATGTTGATATAAATAGTGGATTAGATTATATATTCTATTAGCATGTTATCGTCAAGAATTTGTAATAAGACGGCCGCTATAAAGTTGCAAACAAAAGCCTTCTTTGTTGGTTACTTTATTGTCGCAAAAGTAAATAATGTTGTAGAGGAAAATGTAGAAACCAGAAATTGTTAAGTGTCTTTAAGTAATGATGCCAGGTGCTTTAAAATATACTGTAACAGCTACTTTTGTGTTCTTATTGCCTGAACTGTGCCTTCTCATCCGATTTAATACACACCTTTGTTCGCTAATAACCAATCCTACTCCAGCAAACTGGTCGAAATGAATTAAAGGAAGAACAATGAACGGTCGCACATCTACACGCTACGTTTTTTTCCGAGCTCAACTAGTGTCTGTCTGTATGTCTTTTGTGTGGTCCTATTTTTTCCAATGTATATAAACATTACCTACAAGCATAGTATAATACAGTTATATTATGCTACAAGCTTATCAATTTAACTAATTTGGATTGTTTCTTTTTTCCACAGAAGCGGAAATTTTGAAATGCTACACCCTGTCCTAGGAGTTGTTTTTTTATTGATTCTCCTTTCTATATTGTTTGTCTCGTCCACTCCACTCCGGCATAATTGACACAATACATCCGCTTCATTCAAGTTTTCGGAACAATTTCCTTTTTGAGAAAACTGTCAAGAAAGAACAACTACTAACAGTGTAGTTTTTCTTTCAGCACAAATGTTACGTGGGCAGAAAATCCTGGAATTTACACTTTCAAGTAGTTCTAATGGTGAAACCAATACCAATTTTGGTCCTCAAGAAGACGAAGACTATGACGTCGATGAAACTAAGACCAATCTTGTTCTACAAGAATTGAAAGACAATCACGTGGAGTCTTCTCTACAACATTTTGCACATACAGACGATTTTGAGGACACGACAGATGAAGTTTTGATGCAAGGAATAGAGGACACTTTAACAGTTGGAAATAACGCCACAACTGAAAATGGATTACAAACTCAAAAGAGATCGTTAAATACAAAAGATAAAGAAAAAACTGGGATCAACTAAGAAACAAGAAAATGCGAGAAAAAGGCATAGAATACAAAGGCAAAAAGAAAGACAATTCTGGCAAATGGAACTATGACGTGGAGAGAACAGCTAGATTCGTAAGAGATCCATGTAATTGCAAATTAAGCAATACGAAATCAAAGCTAAAATGCAAGTTTCTTGGCACAGAAATAAGGCAGAAGGTTTTTGATAAATTCTGGAACAAAATGTCTTGGGAAGAAAAGAATATGTATGTTAGAGGGCTAGTCAAAGTTAGTACTGTACACAGAAGAAGGGGCAATCACGAAAAGTCCAGAAGGAATTACTCTCTGGCTTATTTTCTTAAGCATGGAATCCGGCTGGTTAAAGTATGCAAGAAAATGTTTGCTGGTACATTAGGATTAAAAGAGCGAAATATTATAAACTGGGTAAAAGAGGACATAGAAGAAGAAACAGTTAAAAATATTGGTGAACCGATAAATAGAAAAAGTGAAGCCAGGAATGAGAAGTTTGAAAAAGAAATAAAAGCACTCGAAGAATTTTTCAATGCCCTTCCTAAAATGGAAAGTGATTATTGTCGAGCCTCTACCAATAGGTTATACTTAGAACCAATTTGGAGATCGAAAAGTCATCTGTACCAGTTTTATAAAAATCATCATTGTTTGGAAAAAGGCATTGAACCTGTGTCCGATGCAAAGTTTTATGCAACCATGCAGGAACTAAAAATATCAGTATTTCGACCAAAAAAGACGAGTACGACGTCTGCGTTGGATATCGCACTCAGAATATTGATGAAGAAAAATACTTAGAACATCAAATGCTCAAAGAAGAAGCCCGGTCCGAAAAAGAAAAGGATAAGGTAGCAGCAGATTCTATAACCTTCACTATGGATCTTCAATCAGTTTTGTTAAGTCCAAAGACAAACGTTTCCGCCATGTACTATAAGACAAAACTTATTGTACACAATTTTACCATTTACGATCTTCAAACCAAGAAAGGTTATTGTTTACTTTGGAATGAAAGTGAAGGGCAAACAACTGCGCAGGAATTTACATCGCTCCTAATTTATTTTCTATAAGAGAAGGTGATTCCAAATGTTAAGCAATCTGGGCAAAAGATCATTCTTTATAACGACGGATGTACCGGGCAAAATAGAAATAGTATTCTTTCTAATGCACTTTTTCACTTTGCTAGCATCAACGAAGTCACCATAATCCAAAAGTATCTCCAGGAGGGACATACCTAACTGGAGGCAGATTCGATGCACTCCTGTATTGAACGCGTTTTACGAAGAACAAAGATATGTTTGCCAGCGGATTATATTGCAATATGCAGGAATGCTAGGCGGCTACCATTTCCTTATAAGGTAGAATATTTTACCCATGCATTTTTAGAAACTTTTCTTCTCTGCAATATTTTAATTCTATTAGCCCAGGAAGAGCAGTGGGAGCAGAGATGTAATGGATTTAAAAGCCCTTAAATATGAGAATGCTACTTTAACTTGTAAACTTCGTCATTCGTCTAATAGTTGGAATGAACTACCTACCACGTAGAATAAACAATACAATTAAACATGACCTAAAATCTTACAAAAACTTGCCCCCAATGTATACGTCCATCCCATTAAAAATGACCTCAAAACAAAGTATTTTGTTTATTAATTGTAGCACAATTTTATTTATCTACGACCATTAAATTATGCGCTTATAATATGCCTCTATTTCTATAAATAATGCTAGCCATAATTAATTGCTATGCAGTTATGGAATCAAACTTGGGCTATGATTGGTTGCAATCCATTGAATAATATTCATAACTCAATGGTTCCAAAATAGCGCGCTCCTTGAAAACAAAACATGAAAATGTTAATTATCGTGACAATCATTCTCGCTAGTATTTTTCCGTTAGCTTATTCATAAGTTAGGAATGGACCTCGATAGTGAGAACGAAAATAATGAACTCGTGGCCGTGGGTACACCTCCTGAGGTTATGCACCAGGCAGAAGTGTGTTCAAATTTATTGCCTGAAAAGTCTCGAACGAAGTACGAACACGTATATGGAAAGTTTATGGAATGGAGACGTCAAAAAAAGGTATCCTCTTTATCTGAAAATGTTCTTCTTGTATACTTCTAAGAGTTATCTAAAAAGTATTCTTCCTCTTCACTGTGGACATTCTATTCGATGTTACGAACTACATTAAATCTTGATGATGGAGTGGAAATTGATAAATATCCCAAACTACGTACTTTCCTTAAACGTAAATCAGATGGACATCTTAAGAAGAAATCTAAAATCTTCAGCCCCGAGGAGATAAATGCATTTTTTAATAATGCACCTGACGAAGTATATCTTGCAACAATGGTTTCTGACGTTTCTTAGTACGGTTCTTAGATTAATCTTTCGTATTTTTAGGTTGCCTTGATAATGGGTTTAATGGGGGCATGTCGAGCCTGTGAGTTAAGTGACATGAAAGTCGAGGATATTAAAGATTTTGAAGGGGGAGTTATTATCACAATACCTAAAACTAAAATTGTCCGCACGTTTACAGTTACGGGTCAATTCTTTGATATATACAAGAAATATGCGAAATTGCGCCCACCCACCGTTCAATCCCCCTTCTTTTTTTTAAATTTCCGAAAGGGAAAATGCACAAGCCAAAAAACCTTTTTGAGACTTACGAACACGGATTTATACACCGGTCACTGTTTCTGAAGAACATCCGCAACAATCCTAATTGATGCTGGTGGAGACATCATGGCTTTGAAACGACACGTTGGCTGGAAATCGACAGCCGTAGCCGAAGGATACGTTGATACTTCCTTGACAAATAAGTTGGATACCGCTACAAAAATTTCAAGCTCTGTGATTTCTACTTCCAATATCGCTCCACAACCTGCAGCATCATCATCAAGACATCTTGTAGTACTAACGTATTAAATGCAAATGCACATTTTGAGACCCATGCTCAAACCAACTTGCAACCAAATTCTATAACATTTGTTAATTACGATACCATGACAGTTAATTTTTCAAGATCTATTACAGAACTTACTCCGCCATAATTCGACGTTAAATAAGAAATCTTTCCTTTATAGAATTAAATCCTGCTTACTTTGTTTTCATTTCAGTTATTTTTGCGAGTATTTATTGTAATGTAAATGCTAATAAAATATTAATCTAATTGAAGTAACAGTCGTAGATAAAGTATAGTATTACACTCGCATGTTATGGCTCTTATTCACTCGGTTTACTTGCTCCACTCGCTCGCAAGCTCGCTCGCGTCGCAAACGTCAACCTCGTGAATAATAAGCATCATAACATGCTCGTATAATAATATACTATTAATATACTTAAACGCCTATCTCCATCTAATTCACAAATTTGTTTAGTAAAATTGCCTATCTCCCCTTAAATTATCAAAAGCAATAATAAACTAAAAGCTTCTTCAAATTTAAACGTATTTAAATTTTACAAACATGAAAAATAAAATTTGAAACGTTTCTGGGAAGTTTTACAATTAATAAAGCGTTTTTTCCTTCCCCTGTAAAATTTCCCAAAATGGAGTTAGGCAATTTTCTTATTAAGGCGACGATATTGCACAATTATCGCTCAAGTTCATTTTGAATGTATAACTCAATGAAGATCGTTTGTGACTTAAAAGCTTGAAACAAACTGCTGCTAAGGGAAAAGAGCCGTTGCTATAAAAAGCAACAATTGAGTCATATACAACACACTTGATCTTTTCTTATTTTTTCGCAAATATGTAAACTATAAATGACGTTCTTTAAAATTCAAATGATACTTTTTAAAATAGAAATGGGCAATTTTAAACTATAATTAATTTTTCATAATCTAATAAAAAATGTATAATTTCACATTTCAACTGAGTAGTACAGAAAGCGGCCATCACTTTGATGTGGACGATCACTGGCAAGATGTAAATCTGTCATGACTGGGCCAACTGATGACCAGACGGACATTTGTGCGTTGGCCCAATGTTGTTTGCCATTGCTGGTCCATTAAATTTGTTGCATGGAGTAGGTACGTTACATTGCCAGCAATGGTCCTTAAATAAATGTTTGCTGGGATTGTAACAAGTGTGGATAAGGCCTCCTGGTAGTACAACTGATTGTGGACTATAAGGGGAGGCTCGAGGGGAGGTACATTTTCTTTGGACTCCATCTATTCGGGCGTTTCGAAGGCTTCAAAGTTCTGGTCCTTAACACGCTTACGCTTCAGATACTCGCCGATTTTTGTTGGCTGGGAGGTGTCCATTGTTGTTTCTTGGTTGGTTTCGACAAGGGGCTAGTTTTCCTCTGTGAAAATTCTCGATAGAGGTAGCTAATGATCTGTGCAGGTTTTAAAAACCAAGCGTTCTTAGAATTAGGTGCCTTTCAGAATATTGTCTTTTAAAAGTAGACATATCGAAAAACAATACACGTAAATCCCTATCTCTACTTCTTAATAAATATCACTGTATATTATATTAAGCGATTCAAAAAATTTAGCGTCATAGTTCACAATGAAAGTTTAATTGTGAACTTACCATGTACCTGACAATTCGCTTAATTAGCCATTTTAATTTTTAATTTAATTCATAATAATTGACAGGTCCGTCTGACAAGTGCATTGTGGTTCTTCCACGATAAACACCTTATCACCGCCAGCTATGCGCTGAATTTTTGAATCGTTCTTTACAATCTTATAGCGAAAGACGTGAGGATGTCTCGTTGGCCGTCTAATCCCTTGACCCTAGAGGGTTGATGTCACAAATAGTAACTTTCCTATTACAACTACCATAAATATGTTGATTTTAGTATTTTTATTGTTACAATAAGTTTATACAAATAAACATATAAATTTACAAAGTTTAAGTTACAAATGGTGCATTAATATCGTGCCTATGTGTTTCAGATATGGAACTATAACATATAAATAAGTGGTTAAATAACTAAGGTAACTAAATATATCTACTCAATAGATATAAATCTAAACACGATACCCCGATTTCCGAACAATAAATGCCTAAGAATTGTTCTATAATTATATTACATATTTATTTGTATTTTAATTTCAAACAAAAAAATTACACACGATTTTAACTATACTTATGTTAATACAAGGAGTGAAATATAAGCGTAGGTATTATACTACGATTATTATCTAGAAGTATTTTTGATTATATATTACATATTGCAAATTTGATCGACACAAAGTAAACTACTTTGGGTCATGGTAAGTATATAAATACACGAATAGTTTCGGAAGTACACAAATAATTGGATAATACATTAATGAGCAGAATTTTTATAGCTGCGCACTTGTTTATGGAAGCGTAAATAGAGGGAACAATATAATCATTGATCTTGAACACAAATATAAGTTACCAATATTGAGGTTATCACAAATTAAGGAAGCACACCAGAGGCGCGGAGGTTAAATTAACTCAAACTTACACGGGAGTCAATATTGACTGCTAGGTACCTATATATGGAAAAATTTGGTGTTCGTGTGAACTAACTACAAAAATTCTCAAACAAAAAATGTACCAAAAAGGTCGTATAAACCAATCACAGGATAGATATGGTGTTTCAACAATTCTCTATGTTTTCATCAGCTGTTCGATTGATCTCTAATTTGTATTAAAAGCCTATGCAAGGCACAAATAAAATTGGTCATAATAGTTTTTCTAGCCTCTACAATGAAAAATCTAAATACATTTTACGACACGAATATATTTGAAAAACTACATCGATTATAAGATTCAAATAGATAAATGCCCGATGTGGCCGACTATCCATGCATCTTCCATCAACTCAATAATTATTTTCTCATTCTACTAACTAATTGGGGAACTACAGCGTTGCTACTTATACTTTCAGTCTAAGTAATGCATGAAAGGATTGTGTACCTTTAGATTGACATCGTACACATTGGACACAAGCACCTTTTTGGTTTGTTTGATTACAATTGTTTGTCAATCAGTAATTCATCCAATAAATGTACAAAAATTATCAACTAATTACTACATGTGGACCCTTTGGTAGTTAATACATTTCGATTTACCAAAAATACATCTACAGTTTATAAGATAATTGTAAGTATTATTGCGTGGTTCAATTGTACCGGGAACTGAAATCATTTACAAAACGTGCAGATTTTCACACGATTTGGATTTACTATCTCGCGCCCAAACTTTGCCTAACAAGTTTCGAACTTTCAAGCTTGCCGAAGTTCTCGTCCCTCTACTTTTCTTCGGAGAATTTTGAGCGCTTCCGACCGGCGAGTCGGCGGCAGATCCGGGAGATCTGTTTCTGGTCAGGTTTCTTTTTGATGTGCTTCGCTTCTTGAAAATGTCTCGCGTTTTTTCGGGATTTTCTAACTTGAGACGTATCTGAGTTAGAATCCCGACTAGAAGCTCGTCGACGTTGTGATTTATTCCGACGGATGTTTCGATATACTTGCAGTCGTACGCTGTCGCCATCATCTTCCCTTCTGAAATGATCGTTATTACTACTAGTACATTCTGTTATTATAAAATAGTGTTTGATTTCAAAAAATGGTTGTGTTGTTCCAATATACCGGGTGAATCATTAGAACTGAGGACAGTTTGAATTTCGCGCGTACAATTCTAGTGTTTTTTACGTGATTGAATTGGCGATGATATATTTTTAGTTATTTTACTACTTCATATTAGTCACCAGTGCCGTCGTTATTTCGTTAATTTGTTGTTGTTTTTAATTTACGTTTGCAAACTGTATTATCAACGTTCTTAAAAACAGTTCTTTTCAGAGCTACGCTGTAAATTCAAGAGTTTGTTGAAGTAAGTAATTAAGTAACGGTTAAATCACACTAATTTGCATTTGTAGGTTAAAAAAAACCCTTCTTGAGGATGCCCTTCACACAAGAACAAGATGCCTTTATTTTGAAGGCTCATTTTCGAAGTGCTGTACGTAATGAAGATGGAACGTGGTCATATTCGTTCCGGTCCTGTCGAGAGCAATTTATGGAAGAGTATCCCGATGTTATTATTTCTTATAAAGCATTTGCCAATCATAAGACACGAATTGTGGACCGATTTGAAAACAAGAATTGCATTTGTAAAGAAAAACATACCGGTCGTCCATTACTACGAAACGATGAAGTGGTCCAAGATGTCAGACAACGAATGGAGGCGAGTCCCAAAAAGTCAATCCGTCAGTTAAGTGCCCAAGCTGGTAAGTGGTACACGTAGAATGAATTTATACCTACTAACTTTATTTTCGAATTACAGGAGTGTCTTATTCAACATACTCTTGATGAACTACGAGCAGCAATTATTGAGGAACTAGAAAAAATTTCACCTGAAACTCTGGAGAAAGTGTTTGACAATATGAAGCGTAGAGTGGAATTGTGCCGTGAACACAATGGTGGACATTTTGAGCAATTTTTATAGTTCATTTAATACAATTTTAATATCGTGACTGTGCTTAGTGCAAATGTAAAATTTGTTGTAAAATGGGAGACTTATTTGTAAATTAAAAATAAATTATTACCCTTGGAAAGTGATTCTACATACACCACTGGAATTAGACAAATGATATTCTGTTATTACCAACCTTTAAAATTTTTAGTTTTGCGGGACATTCAAACTGTCCTCAGTTCTAATGAATCACCCGGTAGTATATTATATATTTTTTCACGTTCGTAAAATAAAGTACAACATTTTCCATCAATTTGCGTTCATAAAGGATGCATTTGTTTCTTCCGCTAGTAGCGTGAAAAAAAGTGCCGTAGCGGTTCATTTTTGAACGCATTTGAGTGAAAAAAAGTAACGTAACGTGTCATTTTTTAACGCAAACTATTTAGACAAGAAACATAGGAGGCCGCCGTTGCTATGATACTCGCTGACATTTGTTAATAATTACAAGTACGTATTAAGTTCATCTCGCTGTGTTTTGCGTAGGGGAGACCAGTCTGTGATGGCACCCTGGGTATGATGGCACCCTATCGATAACTATTGAATGCAACCATAACAGAATCTGCCAACTTCACACTGTACTGTATAAATGTGTCAAATGGGACTGTACACGACGGAAACTTTAGAATTAAGCGTGGTTGTGGAAAAAATAAAGTTTAAAAAAATTTGTTGGTGGTGATTCATCTTTGACAGGTACGTTATTACGTTTTAATAATTAATTATTTGTTGAGGAATATTAATGTATTAATTTATATGTTAAGAAGCGTGCCTTGTGCATGCTCTATTCAAGCCAGAAACAAGTTAGGTTAGAATTTGGTGGTGTAATAGTATATTAAAGAACAAGTTTCATAAGTAGCTGTTTTATCGCACGTGTCCAGTTTGGAAAACGAGCCGCGTAGCGGCGAGTTTTCCAAAGGACAAGTGCGATCAAACGGCTTATGAAACGAGTTATTTATACTACTTTTTCTATTTCGCGTGATTTCTATTGTAAAAAACTAAAAATAGTTCAAAATTCTGTACTACTTCACATTAGTTGTAAATGTTAAGTTGGTAGCACTGGTTCGCTTTTTCAAATTGAAAATTTTGAAGTTTCAATTTTTGCGCAGATATAGCGAATTGCCATTTGGTACTGCAATTTTTGTGAAATAGAAATGGAAGAGCAGCACGAAATCATAACTTGCACGCCACCTGAATTGCGGCTAATAGCAAACAGTACCGTAGATAATTTGCTTCCGCAGAAATCGAAACTAAAATATGAAAAGGAATACCTTAAATTTGACCAGTGGTGTAAAGAAAATAAAGCCCAACACATTTCGGAGAATGTTTTATTAGCATATTTTGAATTACAAACTCATTTGAAAAAGCCATCGTCATTATGGTCAATGTATTCGATGCTACGATCCTACCTAAATGTGCATAAAAATGTAGATATATCAAGATACGTCAAGTTACAAGCACTGCTAAAAAGATTTTCGCAAGGCTATGAGCCAAAAAAATCAAAAATTTTAGATTTAGAGCAAATTAATCGATTTATTCAGGAGGCTGACGACAAGCATTATTTAGATACAAAAGTAAGTAGAATTTTTTGTTCTAGTGGGTAGGTAGGTACTAGCTACAGGAGTATCTTGTTTGTATTCTCGTTGTAGGTTATTTTAATAATGGGCTACAGTGGGGCATGCAGACGCGAGGAGCTGACTAATATGGCACTGGGCGACATCCAATATAAAAATGATATTGTTGTTGTATCGGTGCCTAAAACAAAAGTAATGAGACAGTTTGTCATCACCGAGAAATTGTGGATTGATATTATAAAAAAATATAGCAGCATACGCCCAGTTAATACTTGCCATCAACGATTCTTTGTAACATACCGTAGTGGTCGCTGCATTACTACTTCGATCGGAATCAATACAATGGGCAAGACGCCACGAAAGATTGCAGAGTTTCTACAATTAGCCAATCCGGCACAATACACTGGGCACTGTTTCCGGCGTTCAAGTGTCTCACATTTAGCTAACAGCGGTAGTGACTTGGTCACCATTAAACGACATGGCGGGTGGAAGTCCTCCGCGGTTGCCGAAGGATATATTGAAACGTAGGTTCAACGAAAAGTGGAAGTTGCAGGAACTCTTGCCCAAGCAAGTAAATCATCCTCATCATTACATGGGATTCTTGCACAAGGATGTACATCAACACATGTAGAAAGTGCCGTTCCCAGTGCTATAGTTGAAGGAAATATAAATAGTGCCGAACACAACATCGTAACCCACAATTTACCTGGTATCAAAGTCAATACACATGATGGAGCTGTTACCGTCAAAGTGTACAATAATTGTACATTTAATTACGCAGATAAGGACGAAATCTAAGTTTGTTGTATTTACTTTATTATGATTAAAGCTTTCGTTGTGCAATTTTAGTTAGAAAAGTTTGGTTATGTTATGTACACAGTAGGAATAAAAACCATCGACTATTAGCATTTGCAATGTTACCAACAGTTGAAAACAAAATCTATGCGGTGCGTTAATGGCTAGAACGATACGCGATTGCGTGCGGTAATGGAGCTATAAACAACGCGAAATAGAAAAAATAAATTTGTTTGCTTCGTTGCGTATTAGGCAATGATGGCACCTTAAACGTCCGGATTTGTTGACATAGGGTGCCATCATAGCCGGATTTGTTGACATAGGGTGCCATCATAGCCAATGCAGTATTTTCATATTTTATTTTAGAAATGGGCGAGTCTATAAATAAGAAACGGCAGTCGTGGCAAGAAGATGATATGAAATCTGCATTGGAAGAAGTAAGAAACAAACAGATGGGTTGGAAACGGGCTGCAAAAACTTACAATGTACCTGCAAGCACGTTACGTAGAAGATTTCATCAAAAGAACCGTTTTGCTACAGCTTCCAGTAAAGGTTTTTTGGGAGGTAAGCGTCCTACATTTAGCAAGGAGTTAGAAGAAATACTGGTCTCCCATTTAAGAGATCTTGAGGTTCGTTTTTTTGGATTAAACATGGTAGAACTTCGAAGACTGGCGTTTGACATAGCAGAGTCCAACCACTTACCACATCCTTTTAATAAAACAAAGAAAATGGCAGGGTGGGATTGGGTGCACGGATTTTTAAAAAGAAATCCTTCAATAAGTTTGCGACTACCAGAAAAAACTTCACTAGCCAGAGCACAAGCATTTAATAAACCCAAAATTAAGGAGTTTTTTTCAATCTTAACAAAGGTTATTGACGACAATAATCTGTCGCCAAACCAAATCTGGAACGTAGATGAAAGTGGATTTTCTACTGTACATTCCAAGTCTGCAAAAATATTCGCAACCAAAGGCCGCAAGCAAGTTGGCATATTGTCTAGCGCGGAAAGAGGTAATCACTTTACAGTGATTTGTTCCATGAATGCGATTGGGACCTATGTTCCTCCAGCTATCATATATCCAAGAAAAAAAATGAAACAAGATCTCTTAGACCATGCTCTACCAGGTTGCTTAGGATTATGTCAGGAAAATGGATGGGTTAATGGGGATTTGTTTCTAAAATGGCTCATACATTTTAACGATTTTGTAAAACCATCATTGACCTCAAAAGTGCTTTTAATAGTCGATGGTCATGGAAGCCACAAGAATCTACCAGTCTTGGAATTTGCAAAACGAAATGGCATAATTTTATTTTGCCTTCCGCCTCATACCACGCATCGCTTACAGCCGTTGGACGTAAGCGTTTATGGACCTTTAACCATTTATTATGATCAAGAAATTCAGAAATGGTTGCGATCAAATCCAGGTCGTGCTGTGACACACACTCAGGTGGGGGAATTATTTTGCAATGCGTACAAAAAAGCAGCTACAATTGAAAATGCTTTGAGTGGATTTTCCAAAACGGGAATTCAACCACTAAATATGGATATATTTCCTGATTATGTTTTTGCTGCTGCTGAAACCACAAATATTGTCCATCAGAATGAAGAAAACGATTTGCCAAATGAAGTCGTTGAAGTTAAAGCACCAGCTGGAGAGATAGCCTCTTCTTCAAAAGTGAGTTCCAAATTGTCAAATTCGCCAAATTCAGACCAAAATAAGATGTCGAAATTTAAGGAATCTCTGCTTCAAATATCGCCGATGCCTATTGCTCCTGCACCACAGGATGGCCTAAGAAAAAAACGCAAAAGAGGAACAACAGGTGTGTTAAACACCTCACCAGCTATTACAGCAGCACAACTTGCAGAGGCAGAAAAGAAGGAGAAAGAAAGACGAAAGACCCTTAGAAAGAAACATGAAACCGTGAGGAGTTTATTTGATAATAGCGAAGATGAGGAAGAAGTTGAGATATTCGAAAGCGACCACGAATCTGATGCAGCCTGTCTCTACTGCAATGAACTGTTTTCAATATCCAAGAAGGGAGAGCACTGGATTCGTTGTCAAAAGTGTAACAGTTGGTGCCACACAGAATGTGCAGGAGTAGATAGAAAAATTAAAGTGTTTAAATGTGAATTATGCATATAAATGTTTTTTTTTTGTACTACTAGATATAGTTTTTGAGTTCCTTTGCATTTTTGTTTTCTTTATTATGAAATATTTAAAATAAACCATAAAAAAACAAAGTATGCCATCATACCCCGACTATTCGGTTATGATGGCATATTCGGGTTTTTTCCTAATTTATATGTCAAAGTTTTTGTTTTGCTTTTTCTATAACAACCATTCGTTATCTCAAAAGAGTACAGGGTTACTAATTTTTTCGTGCTAAAACGAGTCTTCTATCTAGTCTATTAATGATATTAGAGACAATTTTTGTTAGGGGTGCCAACACAGACTGATCTCCCCTAATTTGTGTGCTTGAATGATGGAAATGGACAGTGATGCGAGTTTTTCATACAGCTTGCTCTCATTTTTGGAATCGGGTGCCCTCCGTCGTGAAGAACTATACAAGATTACTGTGGATGATATTAACGATAATAATCTCATAATATAATAATCCCAATAATCTTCACTGCGCATATGATGATATTCTTAAAGAGGTTGACGAATCTGTCAGTGTCACTCATTTAATAGATGTAAATCCAGCATCAGCTTCCAAGATTCAAATTGTTAATCCCACTAATTGCACATTTAATATTAATATTAAATTTATAAATAAAACCCATCAGTGTTTTGTTATTCTTATGCTTTAATTTTTTTAGGTACGAACGTGAAAAAAGTTTTGTATGCAATTCGTGAGTAAAGTATATTTTTTTACTCGGCGGATTTGCGCACTCGCGGGCACTCGCCTTCGGCTCGAGCGGCAAATCTTCCTTCTCGTGAAAAAAAGATATACTTTACTCACTTGTTGCATAAATAACTATTTTTATTATACCTGAATCACAATCTCCGTTTTAAACACTCAAATGCGTGCGAAAAAAAGGCCTTTAAAACACACGTTCTTTAAAGTTGCTAAGTAATGATACTTCAAGTATGACTTTTGAAACTGTCATCTGGGTGAAGTAAAAAACCTTCTTAGGTCGCTTTCTGTAAATGCAGAACATTTCTTTGGCTTGTATACCTATCCTTTGGTTGAAGCTTTCGCAAACGCGCTTAATTTAGGGTATGCTTCCAAATCTGTTCCACTTTTTAATCGCAGCATTGTTTGAAGTTTTGAATGAATGCACTAAAAGGTAGAAGATTTAAATACCTTTGACATTTCCTTCATATATGCCAGCATTATCGATGCATTTAAGACTTAATTCGTAAGTAACTTCTTATTCATCCAAGGAAACAACTTTTCGTATTCTTTATAATAGGCTTTACTGGATTTGGATTTCACACCTACCAACGTTTGTTTAGATTTTACAACAAGCGATTGAATGCACGGTGTATTATCTTTTTCAACGGAAATCGTTTTATTCACAAAGACGATGATTTTTATAAGCAAACGTCAAGTGACTTTTCCATGGCAATCGTGAAATTATGAACACCCATCCCACTTAATTAGACATGTATTCGAGTATAACGTCAATATAATTTCATTATATTTCCTATTTTAAAATTATACTGCAGGTATAATAAAAAATACTATAAGATGCAAGTGTAGGTATAATTGGTCTTTAAAGCACTTGCAACGTTAAAGGCACTTCGAAACATAATTAAATTAATATATACTGCATAGATACGTGTGTATATTCAGAATGAGGTAAATGAAGCAGGCCATTGTAATTAAAGTAAGAGCCCGGTGAGCTCAGTTAAGAGTACCACAACCGAATGATGAATGAAAAGCAGTTCACTTCAGTTCGTAATGACATTATGGCACTTTTTTTTTGTTGGAACGGGCATTTTATAGTTTATCAGAATTTGAGAACTTTAATTTTAGGAATATGTAGATTGTCAATTATTATTTTTTAGTTAGGTACGCATTGCATTTCATTTGGATATTAATCTTTGTTAAAATTTGAATGTATTATATTGTGCATGTTCAAGAAGAAAGAATGTAGCATTCTGTTGCAACCATGCGAGCAGAAAGCACGTGTAAAAATAAATTCACGTTTAGTTCGATTTTCTCGCAATTTAATCTTGCTCGACACCTCCACAACAATCTTCAATATAAGTAATTCTCTGTACTGGCGCGTTACGATTAATTAAAGTTCACTAAACTAAAGACATGTGAAGTTAACTAATAGTGTGCAACCTCAAAAAACACAATTTTGGCGACGAGATGAAAGCGACTGCGTATTGTTTACTTGTCAGGGTAAGCAATCTTCAAATGCTTATTATTCGATATTTCCGGTCTAACTCGAAATGGATCAGTTTCAATCGCTTATGGAAGTATTCAATAATCAACAAAAAGCACTCATTGAAACTATCGCAAAAACATTCGCTGGTGAACCTCAGAAAAGTGGTTTTCAAACACAAACTCCTGTGAATCCACAAGTTCTTATACTGCCGCGCCGTTCGAGAATTTCAATGCTTCCAAAGAAAACTTCAAAATGTACAGAAGCTCGTTTTGAGAATTACTTGACGATGAAAGGCGTTTTTCAAGACAAAACGTTGTGTGCTCAAATGCTCCTGAATTCAATACGTTCTAGTAATTACCAGTTAATTGCTCGTTGGTCGCGCCCAAACAACCCATCGAACAATCGTACGAAGATATTGTTCAAGTGCTTGAAACCCAGTTGTGTCCTAAACGAAATATTTTGGTTGCTCAACACCGTTTCCTGTCTGTAACAACAAGGCGGGTGGTCTATTGCAGACTACATTGCGGTTTTGCGTCGCGATATTTCCGAATGCTTTTGTGTGTCACGCAGAAAATTGTCAAGGCAGTATTGCGGAAATATTTTTGTGTGCACAACTCATTGGGGGCATACGGGACAGTGCTATCCGGAAACAAATTTTGCAATTGGATGATGAAAAATCGAAATTCGGTGCTATCGTGAAAAAGGCACTTGCACTTGAGGCGTCTAAAATTGATAGCCGTGAAATTTCAAACCGTCAACCAACTTTATCAGTATCTCTTAGAGGAAACGACATAAACAAAATTGGAGAACACAGATCACGTGCCCAAAATCCATCCACCAACCATGACAATAGAATCAGGCCTTCAAATAATTCATCTACCAACACACAGAGTTCGTCTCGAGATTCGCGTTCAAAATCACGGTCTCGACTCAATTACCAGCACCTAGAACTCGACAACCGCTACCTCCGTTGTTCTTTTAAGCACCCTACCAAAGATTGCCGTGCTGATATATCAAAACTCCGGTGTGATTCTTGTAAACGAACGGGTCATGTTGCAGCCGTTTGTGCCATCAACCAAATTATCGACATCTTCGAAAAATTCAGCCCTGGTCAAGACTCAAATAAATATTTTGTTGAAGTTCTTTGAGGGTAAACCGCAAATCTTCGAAGTGGATTCTGGCGCCGGTATGACGCTCCTAGGTAGAACTTGGATTAGCCTTGGAGATTTCGATGAACAAAACTCTACATTATTAAATGTGAACTCACTTGACATTGTTACAGACATAATGAGAGATTTTGCTGATATATTTTAGCCCAAAGTCGAATGTGTACCTGGAATCACTTGCTCCCTCGAGTTGCGTCCTAATTCAAGACCAGTTTTCATCAAAGAACGACCTGTCAAATACGACTCTTCATTTGAAGAGTGTAAGCAGAGACTGACAGCTTGCCTCGAAAGGTTAAAAAAGAACAAAGCAAATGTTCGTTTTTCAAAACTCAAGTTCAATATTTAGGATACTGTGTCAGATATAACGAAATTTCGAAATGTCCTAAGACAGTTGAGGCTATTGCCAACATGGGGGAACCTCAAAATCCTGATGAGCTACATCGTTTCTTAGGAATGGTTACCTATTATGCGAGCCTGTCTTCTATAACCTACCCTCTGCGTCAATTGATTCATAAAGGCAGTCAATGGGTTTGGACTCAAAAATGCCAAAAGGCTTTACAGCAGCTCAGAACAGAAATCATTAGCGATCGAGTTATCATGCCATATGGTCCATCGCTTCCAGTGAGTTTGGCTTGCGATGACGGTCCCACAGAAATCGCTGATGTTTTATCTCACGACGTTAATCGCGTAGAACGGCCTATAACCTTCATTTTAAGATCTTTGACAAACGCAGAAAAAAATTACTCCCAACTTGACCGGGAGGCAATAATTTTTTGTGTTTCAAGACTATATATGTACCTCACTGGTCGTCCATTCACGCTAATTACTGATAACCAGCCGCTGACCAGAATTTTACACCAGGAAACGAAGCTGCCATCCTTTACGTCAGCGAGACTACTTCGATACGCGACTTTTCTTCAAGAGTTCGACTACAAAGTTGTACACAGAAAAGCAGAGGATAACGTACATGTTGACTGTCTCTCCAGAGCTACTTATCCTACATCACAATCTAGCTCCTCTACAGAATACATCAGGAGTCTCGAAGTTTCAACCCTTGAAGATCTGATCATCAACCAGATTTCTACTGACGTCATCGCTAGTTCAACTATTTCTGAAGAAACAACCAAGGACGCATTTCTTTCATTCATTCATTTCTTTTACAGCACTTCCAATGGCATCATTTTCAAGAATCAACGTGTTTTTATACCTGAAGTCTTCAAAAAAGAGTTCTCTTGGAACTGCATCGAACACATGTGGGCCTCGTAAAAATGAAACAGTTGGCAAGACGCCATTGCTTCTGGAAAAACATCGACAAAGATATAGATGCAATGGTAAAAACCTTCCAGGAATGCGCACTATCCCAGAAAAGTCCAGCTAAAGTTCCTCTCCATCATTGGGACGATCCGCAGCATAATTTTGCACGCGTCTATATTGGTTATGCTGAGCCGTTTTTGAAGTTCACTAAACTAAAGGCATGTCACGTTAACTAATAGTGTGCAACCGCAAAAAACACAACACTAGGCATGCAAGAGAATAGGATAGAGATCCCCCTTGCGGCCCTCTCTCTCGGATTGCGCTGGCGGACGAAGCGCGCGTTCAATGAACAGTGGTTTGGGAAGGTAGACGTCTGCCCACGACTGTGGTGAATGTCAGCAGACTACGCTGCATTGAAGTTCCACGCTGTCCGCTAGTAGGTACTGCGGCTTTTCCCATGCCGATGTACTAGTTCCCTTGCACCGCGGATTGGGGGTATAGGTTCGTGGACTCTGCGCAGGGCCTTCACCATTTTTCAGAATGAGTTGTCTCGCAGCTAGTGCGCCGATTTTGTCGCTTCATCGTCCGTTGCGGTGATTTTTAATGGCGACTTTATCTTCTCCTTCCAGACGATTAGGTTCCAGTTTGTCGATGGGAGTTCAGGAGTTTTAGCATCTCCTACGTCCACGGAGCGCGTATCAGTGCTGGTGCTGGGAGGATTTCGGCATTTTGGGCAAAACGGGCAAGGTCTGCGTTTAAGATTTTTAAATGAAATTTTGTATGTAGGCACTTCGAATAAAAGTAAAACTAATGCCGAATCAAAAAATTTGTTTTGCGCATGCGTACTTGATTTTTTTAAATTTGGAAGCTATTTTCAGAAAACATATACCAATTGTATCCTAACAAAACATAAATTTTAAAAACTTTTTCTTTAGAAAAATGTTTAATTTAGAGATGAACCTTCCAGAATGCCATAATCTTAAGGAAAAGTTTATTGGGAGTTTTATTATATATTTTACACTGACAATATATTCGAAAAGAGATCAAAGTACTTCTAAAAAACACGCTAGTAAATCTGTAACTGGTCATTTATTAACGATCCTCGAGATCGTTTATAATTTTGTATTGCTGTCTCTCTGACCGTCTGCCTGTCCATCCGTCCGTCTGTCTGTCCGTGTGCACGATAACTTTGTGTAGAAACGTCCGATCGCTTTGAAAATTGAAACATCTTCAGGATATAAGAAAGGTCGCTATTGTTTTTCGGCTACGTAGACTAGCGAGCCGAAAAGTTACAGCCCAAAAACTGCCCAAACCTCAACAAAAGGGTTTCTTTTATAATTCTTGTTACTAAGAACATATGAATATCCGGTTTTCTGTGTTAGTAAATATTTCTTAATCTTCAGGCAACTATGCAGATGCAAAAAAATATTACAACTTTTCTATTTACGCAATCCCAATTTTTTTATTTGTTACGATATTTAATGGAAATGTTGTATGTAGGCACCTCGAATAAAAGAAAAACTGATACCGTTCAAAAAATTTGTTTTGCGCATGCGCAATCCGATTTTTTTACATCTCCGTTAGTTGTGAACCGAATTGCATGAAATTTTGTATGTAGGCACCTCAAATAAAAGTAAAGCTAGAACCGAATCAAAAAATTTTTTTGCGCATGCAAACTAATTCCGATTCAAAAGTTCGTTTTACAAGCTATGCTGATCTGGTGGGACAGAATCAACCCCTTAAGGTGTATTGTAAAAATGATGTATGTGTGAAGATCTCGAGGATCGTTCGGTATTCAGTTGTATCGGATTTTTATGCTTGTCTTGGTTATGTGTTCCCAGGCGTTATATGTTGCTGAGACGTGTTCTTGTGTTAAATTTATTTTTTTTAGGTGACATGCCCTAATTTAAAAACTTCAAATCAAATCAGATCTATTAATAAGTTAAAAAAAGTTTTGTTTAACGAATGGGCCATCATAGGTCAATTAAAAATGAATAGATTTCCATTGTGATTGAAGATGGTTGGATACCAACCGCGCCTTGAAATTGGCATTGATTCTTCCAGTTGTACCTATTCCACTATTACGGATCCGCTCCATACGGTTGAGTACAGTGTAGCCTTTACTCATAGTAATCTGATACCGCTTGCGACCGACTCTTAATTTTAATTGGATTTTTTTGTATAATCGGTTGCCATAACAAAACTATAATTGTGATTTAAATATACTGCAACTTCTCCACTCGACGTATTTCATCATCACCAAAAAATTTAGCGAAAGTCGTCCTCTAATTGAAAAAGATCGCCCAATTATGTATGTGGTACACTAGGAACTATAGATTTCTAGAGTCGGTGGTTCTTTTTATTATAGATTTGATTGAAATCCATAATTAGCGAATTTGTGCTTTATGCAAGTATTTTTAAACTATGTACCCGACTAAAGTACGTACCTTCCGTGGAAACCACCCTCGATCTGACGAGATCCGCTTTATTCGCAACTAAAATTACAGCTTTTGTGCTGATGTTGTCAGAGGTCCACAAATTTTGTAGAATTCGTTCGGCGCACATCAAACTGGATCGGTCGGCACTTGAATAAACAACGCAGTAGGCGTGTGGATCATTGTACTTATTTATGCAGCTCTCAGGCTGAAACAAAGAAAGAATAAATGGAATCAGTATTCTTGAAAGGTTTTGGTAATTGCAAGAGCAGTAGGCAGTTTGTATTGAATAATCCTCTTTCATCTCATTCAAGCTTTTTTTTTTAATTTTACACTTGAAAGACTTTTCATTGTATCCCACACACATTTTCACCATTCGATAGGTTCGATAGATCGTGTACTTCTTTATTGTTTCTCACAGCGAGAGAAGCAAACATTAATACCTGCCCCATTTATATAGTTCAGCTTTGTCAATAATGTCATACTGACATTTCGGTATGGGCGTTTCTCTTTTACTTTAGGGTTGCGGCAAGCTACCAAAAAGTTTAATACCCTAAGTGAAATATTACAAACAAGGGTAACAACTTCTATACGAGCGAGGAAACTATCGAAATTGGAAGAAATGCGAAATTACACGAAGTTTGGAAGAGCAATTGTTCGGAATAGTTAGAAAGTGAGAATAGAAATATGGAATAGCGAAAGAGTCTGAAGGATACTCGATACTTTTTCATGCATGACAAAAAGTAAGTGAGGTAAACTCTTTGTAAATTGCTTTTTTAGGTAATAAATCTTGTGAAAAACAGTTTACGGCTATCCTTACTTCCGTAAGAGATTTTCTGTCCATTATTTTTCTGTAGGACAGTTAAGTATTAAAGTCGGTATCTACTTGTTTTTCACTTCTGTTGGCGTTCGACATTGAATACATCAATTCAAAGGTTTTATGATCATAGGGAATATTCGACAAGAGTCTAACAGTACCCTTTGTCCGTCGTGTCTAAAGCTATAAATAATATAAATAAATAGCATTATGCGATAATAATAATAATAATGGGATAATAAAAAAATAAAAATATGTAATTTTACATGAACTTTTACGTGTAAAGAGCCTTATTATGGTAGTATATTAAATATTGGGACCACTATTTAGTTTTTAAGTTAAGCGACTGAACTTCTTTTCCTTTTCGAAATAAAATTTTTAATTTCTAAGTAAACTCGCAAATCCTTTAGCAAAAATTATTCTTGACCCACGGCTAGCTCTGATTTTTTAAATTTACGGAGACTTTCTTCTATTAAGGGTGGAATTCATAGACATTACTTAAGTTTGACTTACACTTGACTAAGTGCACACTTAGTTTAGTTTAAGTGGAACTTATATTTACTGTTAGTATCTGTCCAAATTTCGCGCGTTACTATAGCAATAATGTCATGCGTCACCTTAACTTTATATGTCTATATCTTTGAATACCACTAAGTACACGCTAAGTATGAGTAAAGTGTAAGTCTAACTTAAGTAATATCTATGAATTCCACCCTAATTGTGAACGGAAATAACAAAACTCAATTCCCTTTAAATAAATCCGATTTTTGTGGGTTCATAGATGACAAACAAATACATGCAAGACAAAACCGTTTTAACTATCTATAGTTTGCGCTCTTTAAGAATTTTCCAACCACAAAATTTGGTATTATACTTTTAAACTCAATCACATTGCGTCTTATGGAATCGTTCACACACGCATTCTTCCCCCATACAGTATCGGCGACTAAATTTCGATCTCTCGCCAGTTCCAGTCACCCGGCAATTTTACGATTTTGGAGCATTGATGGGATATTAGTTCATTGGAACTGTTTACACGAGGAGACTTTTTCATTAGCACGCTACTGCATCGTCGAAAAGTACTTCACTCCAAAAGACAAGTTTAGAATGTCCAAAGTCTGGGAAGTGTATTTCACATAAATTCAGACGGTAGACTGTATCTCGGATACAGTATGTCCTCAAAATTCGTGTCAAATACACTTCGTAGACTTTGGGAATTCTAAACTGCTCTTCGCAGTTTTTCGGCGAAGTATTTTCAGTGTACTGGCGGGCTAATGAAAAAGTATCCTCATATAACAGTGCCATAATATGAACAATCGGTCCCCAAAGTCGTAAAATCTCCGGGCGACTGGGACTACTATATGGGGGTCTGCATGCGTGTGTGAACGGCTCCATAAGACGCAATGTTACAAGTATATCCCCGTGTAAAAGCGGTCTTAATTTTACATAAATAAACGAAATGGCTCCTCATACACCACGGCCCTTTTGCAAGTGACAATGTTGATACAGAATTGGTTTTGATACAATCCTCCTTCAGTGACAATGAATTAAGGAAGATAGGTGACAGACTGGAATGTTTCCGACGGTAACACTATACTTCTCTAAATTTTCTTTAAACAAACAAAAAATTCGAAATAAATTATACGCACTTTTCTCAGATAATTTAGACTTATTTTAATTTAAAACAAAAACTGAACCTGTCACCCGTTGACCAAATTGATGGTATTAATTGTAACATATTTAAATTTTGTTCAATCGTCGATTTCAACCTTCCTCTACAGCCTTCAAACAAATAAATCATAGCGTCATTAAAAAGATCCAGTTTCCAACATTTTACCAAATAATACGTGGCACCGTTCTCTATTACTAACATCAACTATCCCCTTAAATGACAAACAATGAAATATCAGACTGCTCTTTACACAACAATTGGCAATTTATAATTTACATATTCGTTTCAGTTAGAAGACTTTCGTTATTTAAATTAAACTGAAAAGATCGTCACTTAACCGAGTCCTTACACGAATTTTGTTTAAAATGGAAAAATGTCTTCACAATATCGAACAGGTACAAAATAATTACATCTCTATTTTAACGGTCCCAACAACTCAAAATTTTACTAACCAAACCCTTGAAGCAAACGATCTGTATTAAATATAGAAATACGGGTTTTCATTCTAATTACGATACAAGGAAATGGAAACTCGCTCATTGCAATTGAGTCTGAGTTCGTTACGGTAGAGCCACCACGGGTGGCGGACAGGAGGACGCCCACACAGATACCTGAATAATCGTAGTGACTTGTTCTGCGCCAATGCCTAAGGCTGTTCAATTGATGTATTGTTCCATCGTTCTTTATTTTAAACGTGTTGTGTGATGCAGAATGGAATCAAAGAAAATCTTTTTTAAACACGTTTTTTATTAGGTCCTATTGCGGCTATCGATTTCGACCTTATAAGGTCATCTTCAGGCCGAGCGTCATACGGTGAAATGAGGAAGCATGTAATATTATTAACGGTATTATATGTATTAGTTATCAGGAAAGATATTTTTAAGTATATTAAAAGTGAGGTTGTGTTCCGTGTCCCATTTTGAAGAACAATGACAGGTTTCACTAGAATGCACAACCATTAAGAAATAGTCAATAGAAACAAAGATATGGATGGTTCCGTTGGTTAGCACACAACAATATACATTGGTTTCTATTGGCTATTTCTTAATGATTTAACGATAGTGAACTACTTAATGATTGTATAAATTCATCATTTGTCTAATAGCTACCGACCTGTGTAGTGACATACAACGGCCGTTTGTCCGTTCGTTTAGGTGCCTTTTATAAATTCACTGATATGTAGATAAAGGAATACCGTAGCCTGGAATTGGTTTTATCCTTCATTGTACTCTAGTAGAAGGTTTAAACGAAAGAGATTAATTTATACCAACCAAAGTCCTCCTCCGGCCCTTATCGTGATCGGATAGAATTTCTGATACATATATCTTACAAAGGACGATTGGTACGTCTTGTAACGTGTCGTTGGTTCGGGGAATGTACTCTTGGTTTAGGTGATTGACTGAATGCGCTCTTAGTGACAGCTCTGATTTCTGATGTGGAAAATTTCCAAAGTAATCTAGACCATCTGTACGCGAATGGGACAGGGCTCTTTAGGTAGTTATTTTTATATAATTCCTCTTTGTTAACGTATTTCTTTTAGGTTATGCCATATGTGTCGATTTAAATACTTATCTTTGTTTTATTTATATCGTAATCCGAAACCCATTTATTAATGGGTACGTAATTTCGAATTAATTGAAATTAGGTCTCATTTTTGACATTGTAGTTTATTGACGTATCACTCTTGTTGATGAAGTACCGTTCTCTTATGCAATGCTAAAACGAGTTCACCAATCTATGATTGATATGTCTGCTTAGCTGGAACTCATCTAATACTTGGTATTTACGATCAGATGTTCTGTTCGTCTCTTGTTCCGTTGCTATACCCCATTAATCCCCTCCCCATTAATCATCTGCTTAGAAAGTAAACATCGATAAATCTAGCACTAAACCATTTACTAAGCTACCTCGGTTTAAAAATGCACTTTATCTATGCACAATTTATACTTGTTAAAATGCAACTCATTTGTATCAGAAACCGAAATTCAAAAGCATAGAATTTCCTCTTGCCATTATAATTTACCTACGACGCAACGGTAATCTACTTTAAAATTTACATTATACCTACAGGAAGTTTGGAAATCTCTAAACAATCAATCATTTACGTGGGTAACAGATGCGTCGCTGCCAGGCTTCATAACTGTACTCATATCATTAATTTACCCGAAATTTTAGCAAGAAACTTGTCTATTGGGGAGAAATTTGTAGCAGTTCGTCTAATACACGGATGGCCTACTCCAGCGGTTTCCAAGTAATTGTACAGGCACTATAAATTATCTAGGGAGAATTACAGTTTAACTAGATTTTATGACAATTACTAGAGCCTACAAAGTTTTATTAATAACATTGTCGTTACGCTGTAGGTAGTTATTTAGATAATTACGGTGAAATTTATTCAGCATTTCATAGACTCGTTTTAGAATTTCGTCGGTTTTGGTAGGTTCCCAAGGAAATTCATTGAAGCAAGGGTTATTGCATTTTTATCTAATTCTCTACTGAAAGGATGAGTCAATTTATTTGTGTTTTTCGTCTTTGTGTTTGTGATTTTTTTTTCATGGCGTTATATTACAAAAATTATAGGTCAGTGAAATTATTGATCGCTCTCGATTTATATCACGAGATAAATAAGACAAAAAAACATTCGATCCGTCATTATTAATAAAGCGTGGGTGACATTTAAAAAACGCATTGCGGAATTCCTTCGGATGCTTTTTTCAATATCTGTTCCTGTAGTTTTTAGCCAATAATAACTGCAAGATTTATACTTGCAGTTCTCAGATCGACAGGTTCCGTCGGTAAGCGAAACATCTGCTCAGATTTCGAAGCACCTTATCCATTACGAAAAATTACCTAAGTAGAGATTTAATACTGGTTGATTCTGAATTGATTACCATTCAAGTTTCATTGTTAAATCAGCTGTGTATTAGATCTTTTAAATTCACTGAAACTAAATTTATCAGCCATTGCGTAAGGTAGGTGCCCGGAATGTCTAATTGAAAAGAAATTTACATAATAATTCCCGAAGACAAATCTTCAAATACGAATCGCGCTACAGGGGCTAACGAATAACCTAACGAGAACGAGATAAACTGGCCTTTGTCAATTTTGAAGTTTGCCTTTGGCGTTCTTTGTAAAATTTGAAATTCAATATCGTTCTCTTTTAGTAATCCGCTGGAGATGTTGTGTGATGTAACCAAACCTAATAGTGTTACAGAATGTTAAGGATTCTGTTCCAAATTGTTTCCGTCGTTATAGTGTTAGTTATAATCCTACGACAATGTGGACGTTTATTTACGCGACTTGTACGCTAAGAAAATGTGCTGCATTTAACATTTTAGGAGTAAGTGCTGTGTGTAAGTAGATAATTTTATCTTGCAGTCCTTTGATATTAGTGAAGCCTCATAGATGATCCATACGAGTTGATTAAATCTAAATCGAAACCGTCAAAGGGTCTTGGGATGAAGATGTTTGCGTAAAAATATGCGTTAATGGCAACGAAAACTTCTCATGGAGCGAATGGGGGGAACGTGCTTCGCATATCATTTTCATAATTTCCAGCATACGTCACACACACTGCCGCTTATAGGGAAAATTTATGGCGCATTTTGAATGTATAAATCCAATGTCCGGTGATATTCGATTAAAAGTTCTGAAGGGTAGTAAGGTTGAATGACGTTAAAGGATTAAAAAAATCCTTCCATTTTTGTTTAAAGCGTTTCCTTTCCACTTACAGACGTACGTTCGGGTTGTGCGCGCGACAGATCTTTAAAGTGGGTAGAACAGAAAAAGGCCGTCTCCCGCAGGCATTTACATTCCGCCAACTTCACATCATTTCAATCACGTCTATTGAATTTAGCTTAAAATTGAGAAGAACGTATTTTTAAGTGAACTGTATTATTCAGCAACCCTTCTATATCTTACGTTTCCGTTACATTATTTTAGATAGCCTGATGTAGTAATTGATCTTGGTTTATGGAGTATTACGGCAGGGATTGCACGTATTTTGTAGGTAGCTTTACAATAGATATTCCACGTGAGTTGGTTCCTTTACTAAGACTTTAAGGACGATTATAGGAAATTTAAACTCTTTCGTAAGTCATCGATCAGTAATGGATTGCACTTCAGTTAATATATCATTGAGGGGCATATTAAGTATGAATAGTATTACTTTTGTCATTTGCAATATTGATAATGCCAATTAATATCTTCATAATATAGATATATATAGCAGTCTATCCGGCTGAGGCATAAAGAGAGGGCATAACTGGTCATGACTCATTATGCCTCAAACGGCCTGTCAATATCTGTACCTTGGAAGAAAAAGGGCCAATGTCCATAAATTACGGTTTGGGGCTTATGTCATAGACAGTGTTGTCGCCTTCCATACTTTCATATAAAAAAAGGCCAATCTCCACGGTATGCTAATATTCAATATAGTGAATTCCCATTAGGGCGTAAGTCCATTTGAGTTTCATAGAAAAAGGGCTAATGTCCTCAACGATGGACTTTGGCCGTTTCATATTAATTGTGATAAAGGCCAATGTCCATCATGATGGACATTAGCCCTTTTACATGAATTAACTTTTGGACATTGGCCTTAATTAATTATTATGCTGCACATGTTTTAACCTCAAATTTTAGTGTAACGGTATTCTTTTTGTGGTGTTGTTTATGAACAATAAAAATGAATAAAAGGACGCTTCAAATTCTGAGAAACTGCGGACTCGCATCTCAAAATTGTAAGTTCACTTTTGCACATATTTATGTTGCATTGAGGATTAAAGTTATATTTTTTAGCTGATAATGTTGATAAGAAACAGAGAAGTGAGTCAACATTACCTACAAGTTCAATAGCTGATAATAACTGTTATTGTTCACCTGAAACGTCATTACAACCTTTAACTCCTATTGTAAGTATACTTGTACATAATGGAATAAACGGCACTCAAATTCTAAATTTTGCGATTGAATAGATTACCAAACAATATTATTATTAAAATGTATTATTGCTAAATTGGTTTTAGGTATCCAATGAGATCCAACTGATTGAGGATAACGATTCGAATAATTACGCAACTTTGCAGAACATTACGATTGAAACTAATGCGGTGAGTGGTTTTTATCTTATTCATTTTTTTAGAAAATGCAGATCGACAGGAAACAATGATAACACAAGCCAAAACTTTTTTAAGCAATGTCGGTTTTACCAATAGGCTAACTACATATCTTAGTGAGACAGAGATAACAACCGAGTTTTTGTTTTAGACCAATCTCGAACCAGGGGAATTTATTACTGACAACGATGATGATTCATATGTAGATCCTGATTACTCCCCCTCCGATGCTTCTGATATTGATGATGGGATCGACAGTAACATGAACTCGTATCCAGTTACAGCAGATTTTGAGGTACATCGTTTTAAATTACTATTTTTTATAATTCGCCTAACAAAAGCGTTATTTTTTAGAATGTCCAACTCCAGAGCGAAAACCCAGAAGAGATTTCAGAAAATGATACTCCTCATAAAAAAACAGAAAATGAACACACGCGTTTCGAGGGAAGTGGAGAACAGAATTTGGAAAGTCTTACTCAGAAACGTAAAGTAGGAGGACGTCAGAAAAAGGTAGATGAACAAAAAACTAGGAAGCGTGTTAGAAATGCTAAATCGTGGAAGGAAAATATTAGGAAAGCGTTGAAAGAACAAGGCAAAGAATATGTGAGCAAGAAAGGAAGCGTTAAGGTTGCAAAAGAAATGAAATTGCCTTGCACTTGCCGAATGAAGTGCTATGAGAAAATTAGTGAAGAACGCAGGAAGAAGCTATTCGAAGATTTTTACAACTTATCAAAAGACGCCCAGGATCAGTATATTTCAGAGACCATTAAAGAAACCACAAAACAAAGAGAAAGAGTTAGAAAATTAAAGGAAAAAAATGGTAATTGCAGTCGCAGAAAATTTACTAGAAAATATTTCCTAACGGATGATAACGGTCAAAGTAATGAAGTGTGTCAGATAATGTATCGTCATACCTTCGATTTTACTTTAAAAAAAATTAGGACCATTACAGAGAAAAAAAAGAGTGGCTAAGTCAAGCATTTGCCCTTTAGATGGTAGAGGTAAGCACTCAAAACACAAGAAAATTGCAGATGAGCAAAAAGATACTATCAGAAATCACATCAATCGTTTTCCGGCATACAGGAGTCATTATTCGCGAGAACGTACCTCAAAGAAATACCTAAGTTCCGATCTTTCGATTGCAGAGATGTATCGTCTGTACTGTGAATATTGCAGAAGCAATGATAAAACAGCTGAAAAGGAGTCACTATATAGAAAAATTTTCAATGAGGAGTTTAACCTTAGTTTTCATGCTCCAAAAAACGATACTTGTGCCAAATGTGACCAGTTTGCCTTGAGCTTACAAAACTTGGAAAACAAGCAATTAACTGAAGAGGAAAATGAGATTCAGAAAAAACTTCTGGAGGACAAGGAAAAACATCTAGATTTCGCTGAAAAAGCTTATAAACAAAAGGCGCTGGACAAAGAACGAAGCAAACAGGATAAGTCTTTTGCAGTAGCCTCTTTTGATTTAGAAAAATGTCTGCCAACACCGTATCTTCGTAACGGTGTTTCATTCTACAAAAGGCAATTATGGACGTACAACCTAACTGTGTATCAAACTACTACAAAAGGTAGTGTTGGCATTTGTTACCTTTGGAACGAAACAGTAGCAGGCCGTGGTGGACAAGAAATATCTTCATGTCTAAGGCAGTTTATACTTTCCCTTCCAAATGAAGTGGAAGTGCTTCACTTGTATAGTGATTCGTGTTCCGGACAAAATAGGAATATTTTTATGTGCACAATGGTCTTGTTAGTAATGAATGAAATGAAAAGGTTGGGTCGAAGCTTGAAAGAAGTGCATCATAAATTTATGGAACCTGGTCACACCCACATGGAGGCGGATACAATACATGCCGTGATAGAAGCTGCCAAAAGGAAAACAACGGCTGAAATAGAAGTTCCTCACGATTGGTGCAATTTTATAAGGAACATACGAAGAAGTCCTCCTCTACAGGTTGTAGAAATGCCACAAAAGGAATTTTTGAATTTCAGTAGCCTGCTATCCGATAAGTTGGTACATCGTAAGAAAAATGACGATGGCGAAGCAATTCCATGGATGAAGATAAAATGCTTAATGTACAGTCATAATAACGATTATCGTTGTTTGTATAAAACGAGTCTTGAGGAAAGCGAAGAATTCAAAAAAATTGACCTAAGGAGAGGCTCTACCAGAAAACGAGCTAACGAAATTGAAGTTGCCCAACCGAAACCAATTACTTTGGATCCTCTGCCTGTAGCAGAGCTTAAGGTTAGCAATCTGATGGATTTACTGCCCTATATCAGCCAATACAATAAACCATTTTTTTCACTACTAGCGTCTGATGACATGATTATTAACCTTTTTTCCACTTGTAAAGTAGGCTTTCTCGGCATTTGTTCAAAGTGGTTAATAATTTTTTATTATTAACTAGTAGTCAATAATGAGAACTGTCCCGCTGTCACTTTTAGAAAACACAACCCGAAATTTCGCTCAATGAACGTTTAGACAAGTTCTCTAAAACGAATAATTGCCACCATTCGCAATTTCCAGAGAAATTACATACCTAAAATTATCACATTTTGAAAAAATTCGAACGAAATTAATCTTTGAAAAATCTCAATGACAGAACAAAATACGGCCTGTTTGACTTGTACTTCCACGTACTTGATTGACATGTTAAATTAAGAAACAAACAATTCTGTTCAACCGTTAACTCTCTTATCAATATAATATGTTAATTTAGAGGATTTCAAGTGCTAGTAGTGAAAAAAATAGTATATATACCACGGTAGACCTTCGCACCTTACACCCCTCGGCGCAAGCGCCTCGAGATGTAATCTTGGTGCTCAGGCAATAATAGTGGACTTCTCTACCTTGGTATATAATGTACTATTATCAAGCTTTAAAAAAATCTGAAGAACTGGATCCTGATATTCTTCCAGGCGCCGAAAGCGATTAAATGGCATTTTATCTTATTATTTCTTGTTGTTTTGTGGAAAATAAATCATTTTGTTGACCGAGTTTTATAGTGTAATTTCTCAAATGTAGGCCCAATGTCCACTTCTGTTTCAAAATTGAAGGCCAATGTCCACTGCTTTCTTATATTTTGTAAAAAAATAAAAAAATCATTACATTATATTAAAATAGTCCAATGTGACTAACAATATTAAACAAACAAAAAATCAGTATTAGAATAAACAACTACGATATTCAAATAAATAGGTTACGTAAAACTTCTAAATCATTTTATTCAAAACATCTGAAATGGACATTGGCCCTTTTTCTTCCAAGGTACAGATTTATTGACGGTAGTTTCATATTTTATGTAATAAAAAAAGAATGCACTTGATTCGTAAAGCACTTTAATGTGGGCAAACAATAAAAATTAAATCATTACATTTGTATATTGGAAATTGCATTATTTGAAACGATGAAAAATAAAATTTTGTATGCACCTCAGGCATTACTCGATATTTAACCCTCGGGCAACTTACAATCCCTCGGGCTCTGTCGCCCTCGGCATAAATATCGTCTTAATGCCCTTGATACATAAATAACTATTAAGTTGAATATCTGTGACTTTTGAGACAGCTACTTATACCTTTCATGAGAAAAAAACCTAATAAAATATTTATTCAACCTTTGTTTTATATATTTATAGTGTTAGTTGGAACTCATAAAGAACTTTCGGAGATTTATCCTACCAATACGTTGTAACAATAATTCAGCATTGCTCATTTTAAAAATTGTCTTGCTGCACTTCTAATTACGGGGTTAGTAACTGAATTTTTGAAAAATCCATCAAGAGACGCTTACCGATAAATCTGCAGTAGCAAAGTCGATAAATGTCAACTCAGATTCTTCTCCAGCCAGCAGCACCGACACTGATTTCTCTCCACTTTCATCATCTGTAACAAAAATAATACGTTTAATGAGATATACGAGTTAGATACATTGTGTAATTAGCTGTAGGTAAATAGCTTCTACGCCACATTTTATAATAACCTTCATAGCGACTTTTACAAATGGAAGGCGATACTTAAGAACGTATACGAGCTAAATAAGGAAGCTTCTGAGACAACCAAATTGCACCCTCTTTATGACTTTGCGACTAACTAAACCGGCGAGTGAACTATTTGGTTGTTCGCAGAACTAAAATCCGTGTGTTAGAAAACTAAACAAACATATCCTACCAACAAAATCGTTTAAGTTCCGCTTCTTCAAACGTTTATTGTCTTCACGAAAGTGTTGTAGTGGTGTGGTTAGTGATTTTGGAAGTTTACCTGAAAACAATATATGAAGGTTATTATAACATATTTAGAGCATAGAATCGTGAGAAAGATTTCAAATCAAAGTGTTAAGTTCCATGACAATTCTGTGTAAATAGTGTAATTAATTACAAAATTACTATCATCGGAATTTTCTATTAGACAAGTTTGAAGATTTCTGCGTGTCACTGTTGGAACCATCAGGAATGAATGAGGAATTTGCTATCAGTTTTTTTGCTTTGCTTTTATATTTTTACTATGAATTAACGTAAGTTTGTTTTATTTGAACTTTCACGACCCTTGTGATGTAAACGATTCAACGGAATTTCTTTTAGTAATTAATTTCATTTTCATCTAGGAGCCCATAATTGATTCAATGGCCCGTATGAATAATAATAAGCAAATGCTTATACTTGCAAAATTCAAAGTAAATACTCGTAACTGGCCCTTCATACTGCTCTGTTTAGCATGGTTTAGCAGCGCTGCACTACGTCCTGTCCTTCAGCTTAGAAGCGCTGCTAAGCAGTGTTGCCAACTATTTGTGATGCTTTACCACCACCACCGTAGTAAAATACCGCTCTTTATAAAGAAAAGCTGCTACGGCGCTACGTGAGATTGTATTGTAAATTTTTTTAGTAAGGGTGATCCAATCAGACAAAAACAAACTCCCATAAACAATGTTTTTTATTTAAATTACAACTTCTAATTTTTAAAAGAATACATATTTGAATTGTATTTATTAAAGTGCTCTTGCGTGAACTTGTAAGTGTTGCAACACACTTTTTTATTATGCGTATCTAATTTAATATATTGTAATACGGCTTCCAATACTGGAATTGAAAGTTTGTTTCGTTTTTTTGTTTTAATGTCATTTATATTTGAAAATATCCTTTCAACATCGGCCTCGACATCGGCATTACCATGTGGAATGCATAGCACTATTAATGCGAGTTTAGATATATTTTGAAAGATAAATTCGTCATTATAATCCGTTAAAGAACTTAAATGATTCCAAAATTCAATTGGATTTTGTGGTAAAAGAGATTTCTCTTCATTTGAAAAAAATATTTTTAATTTATTAAATTCTTGGATGCACACGTCGACGTTATTGGGGCATATTTTTGCAGCTACAGAAGCAATATTCGTGTTCATTGAAATGTTCAAGGCAATATCTCTTTGGATGACATTTAAATTTAAAAAAAAATCATTTAATGGAAAACGGTTCAAGCACTCTGTAAATGCAGTTTGATAAAAATTTAAACATTTAAACAAAAATTTTTCTTTTAAGCTAATATCAAAACAACTAATAATTTCTGTAGTTGATGATCCGACCTTAATCGCTTCAATAGGCAGCAAACAATGGGGATTTAACACGTTAACTTTAGTTATGTTATCATCACTAAGATACTCCTTTTTTTAAAAATTTATTCCTAACATTTTCAGAAATCTTAAACACTCTGAACACATTAAAGGAGTCAACAGTTTTTCTGATTGAAAGAATGCGTTGAATTGATTAAACGCTGGTAAAATAAACATTAAAAAATGCAAATAAGCCTTACTAATTGGATTATTTAAATCGTTATAGTAGGGGAGCTAGCACGAAATTCACTGAACGAGAATGATCAAAATTTTAACCGATGCAGTTCCATTTGGCCCTATTAGAGTATGCTAAAATCGATCGTCTGCCGCCTCAGGTCATATGACTTAGGGCGCTGCGGGTACTTCTTGCGGCACCAATTCTGAAAGGTTGTTTTTCGAGAAAATAAGTTATACATCAAATGAAAACGTTGATAATAGCTCTTAAAAAAATATTTAAAAAAATCGCGCACATTTGATAACTCCGTAAAAAAACAATTCTTAGTCGGTTTTTCACGAACTTTCTACGGATATAACTAGGTTACCGTCGGATAAATGAAGCTGATTTTTTTTACAGACTAATGATGGACACAGCCAATGACTATGAGAGTGTTTCTTTTTTAAATTTTTTCTCTAATTATAAGATATCTTATAATGTTAAGATGATAAGATAATCTTAAAATTAGAGAAAAAATTTAAAAACGAAACACCGTTAAGTCATTAGTAGTACCTATAATCAGTCTGTAGAAAAAATCAGCTTCATTCGTTTAACCGTAACCTAGTTATATCCGTAGAAAGTTCGTGAAAAACCGACTAAGAATTGTTTTTTTACGGAGTTATCAAATGTGCGCGATTTTTTTAAATATTTTTTAAGAGCTATTATCAACGTTTTCATTTGGTGTATAACTTATTTTCTCGAAAAACAACCTTTCAGAATTGGTACCGCAAGAAGTACCCGCAGCGCCTTAAGTCATATGACCTGAGGCGGCAGACGATCGATTTTAGCATACTCTAATAGGGCCAAATGGAACTGCATCGGTTAAAATTTTGATCATTCTCGTTCAGTGGATTTCGTGCTAGCTCCCCTACTATTATTTATTATTTTTGCAACCTCTGATTCCCCCTCAAATTCAGCTAATCGGAATAGCTCTACTAAAACATCCCACATTTCAAGTACCCTTTCCACACTTTTCGACAAGGCTAGCCAACGTGTTGCACTAGGCTTTAGCATTTTTAATTTTTCTCTCATCATAAACTCTTGAAATGATTCAAGCACCGATTGACGTTTCGGACTTCTCGAAAAATAGGTGCTAATATTTTGTAGCAAATTTTCTACATATTTGGCAAACAAGCTGCAGCTGCAACTGCCACAAGATGTATGCTGTGACAAATACAGCCATTTGAAATTAGATTGGGATTAGATTTTAACAAATATTGTTTGACACTTTCTTTTGATCCCATCATCACACTTGCATTGTCTGCACAATAACCGATTATATCACTTTCTAGTATTTCAAACTGCACTAGACATTCTTTAAGCAAAGAATATAAACCCTTTGCTGTGCCATGATCGCTATCGACTTCTTTCAAACCGAGAAGCTGTGTAGTAATTTCAGAATTATTGACAAATTTCACCAAAATGCATAGTAACTTTTTGTTGCTTATGTCACTAGCTTCATCTAATAAAATCGAAACTTTTTGTCCTTTAATTTGACGCTTTAATTGTTCTTTTGCGACCGCGGCTAAAACGTTTTGGATTATCATGGTACACTTTGTGCGACTTAGTTGTACCTTTTGCGCCACCATAGAATCGTTAAAGTTTATTAATTTGGGTGACCAAACTGAAATTGTGTGTAGCCACCATTAAAGCACTTCTAAGTGTAGCGCAAACTACGTCAATATGTTCATGGGATTTATTTATGTTACTTTTAATCATAATGTCCACCTTACCGCAACTTTTTAGTCTTTTCACACAATTTTTATGGCGAATTGAGTTAGCATGATTCACCAGGTCACTGTATTTTGCTTTTAAAAAAACTATACACGCACTGTTTGATATCGTAATTTAGTTAGTTTGGCAACGTTGTAGTTTTGTAAGCTACACGAAGTTAGTTACTTTTTTAAGTTGATCGCCATTAGCTAGACACACTTTGATGAACGTTGTAAAGAATTCGTTTTAAGTTTCAAATAAAGTTAATCCTGAGTATCCGAATTGAGATTTATTGAAAAACACAAACACGCACTACATTTTGCATAAGTGGAATCGTGATCGGCAGGTTGAATCCAACCTTTTAACTTTTCATCGGTCAACCATTTTTCAGTAAATCGCTGAACACGCGAACTTCCCTTTGGATGGACAGGAATGACAGGATGGCCACTAGACTCCTTACTAGAACCTGGATGGGGATCCTGCGATGCTGCAGGTGGATGTTCGCAATGTTCTAATTGTTGCCAGATACTTTTTTCCTGTTCATATTGGTATCTGAGATACTTAGCTTCCCCACTGTCACTAAAATCATCAGATTCGCTGTCGCTCATTGTTAATTACTGCCGTCTATGTAGAAATGGAAAATTCGGTATTTATTAGCAACCTGTGCCCTCGTGGACTTATTTGTATGCATACCTGATATTACAATTGTCCAATGATTGTTGAATCTTTGACAAAAGTCCCGAAACCCCGACGCAGTAAAAGTATAATTATTATTACTATCCAGGTATATACTACTATTGAACACCAATCAAAATGACTAAAGGACGAACGAACTTGACCAAATGCCAACACAAAGTGAAATAAAATAACGAAAAATGAAAATGTTTGTCTATTTATCTAAACTAAAAAATAAAATAACTCAAGGTTTTATCATAATAGAGACGCTTTGTTTATTGTTTTGTGCAAATGTGCACGTTTTACAACTTGCAAGTTGTAAAGACGTCAAAGACGAGGGAGCTGACATGACATAAAACAGTGTATATTGCACCAACAAAGATGATTCATTTTTAAAGGCGACCATCTGAATCATCGAATAAGTAAATGGTCCCCTTTGTTAATGTCTTGTGCAAGTCTTTAAGACTCTAAAAATAAGACAATATTCAGAATGGCAGTTTATAATTGATAAAGACGATGACTAATTTTTAAAACAGAAAATCTCACGTCTTAAATAAGCAATTCTCTAATTTATTTCTTGTACACATTACGTTCTACGATATTGCAAATAACTTGTCTAGAGTAATTACACATTTCCTATTCTTACGATAAGTATAATTCCGCTACTTTGAAAGAATTAATCTCATGCCGCCGCTACGCCGCTAAAAGCATCACCAAACCGCTACGGTAGAGGAATCCGCTACGGTTGGCAACACTACTGCTAAGTCGCCCAGTGCGAAGGAGGACTTACGAGTATTTACTTTGAATTTTGCAAGTATAAGCATTTGCTTACTTTTATTCATACGGGCCATTGACTTGACTCGTTAGAATAACTGTAAAGGCGGAAATAGACTAGCAAGTTTTCTCGCAAGTTGCGACAATAGAACTTTTTATACCGCGTTCGTGTATTGGGTCTTTGGACTAAATTCCTCTCTTACTAATTTACGTCATTCTTTGATAACGCTATCCTTGTTCCTCTCCGTAATGATGCCAAACTGACATATGATTGAATTCA